GCATTCATGCTAAAACCATCTTTTAAAATATTATACTTCAAATGATTATTTTCATCTGTAAAAGAAGAAGTGGTATAAAAAATTATTTTTACGATGTCTTTGAAAGAAATGATTTTAAAATTAGATTAGAACGAATAATTTCATTTCAAAAAATTTGCAGGTATACCATCAAGACCAGTACTCCTGCTTGTGATAAGGTTACATAATTCTTTGTAGACAAAATCTTCGGACACATATTTCAGTATAAAAGGATCACTGGTCTTCCTTCTAACATCATAAAAGTGTTTGAAAAAATGTGATGTTGCTTTAAATACTCCCTTTGGTGATGGTAATTTATCAACAAGTTTAGAAGCAATTGTAGTGGAAAAATGTTAAATTGTCTGCAATTTTGTTATTGTCAAAGCAATTTTCTCCATTAATAAGTAAAATAGTATTTCCGTCTGATTTTGTTTTATTATGATAACCTAAGTCTTTTAAAAATGACCAAAATTTCTTTGCATTTCCTTTGTTTTCTTCTATTTTTTCATTAAAATAATCTGAATTTTCCTTCCTACTTTGACGTTGAACCAATTTTCTAATTTAACAGAATAGCTTATTTAAGCAGAATATTTTCCCGATTTTCTAAATTCAATTAAATATTGATCTCTTATATGAATATTTTCTAAGATTTCAGAGGTGATCCATGGTTCTGTTCTTTGTTTCAGCCTAATTTCCTCAACTGGGGCTACATTATCTTAAATACTCATAAAAATATCCTTAAAATAATACCATGATTTATCTAAACTTTCAGCATAAAAACATTTTCCCCAATCAGCATTAGTAAGTAACTCTAAAGTAAAAACTCATTTTTGTCATAATTTTTCATCTTTCTTATTTTAACCGTATTGTGTTTCCCAAAATAACACTTTGCTGATTTTCTTGTACAAAAAGTTAAAAAATGATCATTTACTCCAGCACAAATTACACCTGACTGACATATTTTCTCTGTCGTATTACATAAAAAATGATCAATAAGTGATCGTGAAGTATTTGTAATTCTAGTAGGCTCTGTAAGAATTTGTGAGAGTCCAAATAGTCTAAGAAGTTTATTGTATTCTTGAGTGAGTGGGACACTAGAATCTAGTGTACAAATATTAAAATAAATTCACAATCTTGTCTTAACTGAACTAAGAAACTTTCAAATCTTTCAATAAAATTTGATTGGTTAGGCGGTCTGTAGCAAGTACCAACAATAATAGGCCTTGTCTTAGGTAAAAGAAGTTCAATAAAAAGGACTTCATCACTATCTGAGATTCCTTCGAGGCTCACGGGGTGAAGGCAAGGTCTTCCCTTATGTAAGTGCATATTCCACCACCACGTCGGTTGCGATCTTTTCTGATGTCGGTATAACCATCTATATGGATTTCCGTGTTAAATAAAGAGCTGTCTAGCCAAGTCTCTGTATCGATAGAATGGCAGCTTTTGATTTGGAAGCTATAAGTTGAACTTCATGAGTTTATGTAGTAATGATCTTATATTGATGTGGAGAAAGTGGAGGCCTTTTCTTTTAAAACATTCAAAATGTTCATCAGGTGGTAGAGTATCAGGTTGTGGACCGGGATTACTTTCAATCCCACTTATCAATAACAATAGAAAAATAAGTCTTTTTGAACTTATTTTACTTGGTACATGGTAAAATATATTGTTGTTACACACATGAAGGAACCAGTAATATACTTGTATATGGGTTTCTTTGAGTTTGTTGTCACTTGTTGCTAAAAATACTTGGAAATTATCGAGATCTTCATTAATATGAATAGTATCATTGTTGTACTGATGGATATAGTGGTTGATCTGGTTTTCATGATATCGCTGGAGTGGCCATGTCATCTCCAAATAAGATATGGTGCCAAAAATGGCAATAATAAACGTTGTAAACATTTTGAGATTTGGCGCCATTTCTCCTTTCATATTAAATACAAAAGAATTGTTTGTTTTTGATGTTCTTTGGAGGCTCGATCTTGTTCCTGACTGTTATTTCAGTTGGAAAATCCATACTTTGTTTCAGGTATACCTGCATCTGGTGACTTTCAGGTAATCAAAACAGACAACGTCGATAACCGATTCTAGCATAAATTGAAGTTTAATTAAGTGGACAGCTTCCCTGTTTTCTTTACACTAATTCCAGCATCTTCCATCGTCTGCTTCTCTCTCTCTCTACTTGGTCAGTTTCTCTTCTGCAGAAGCCGTTCAATTATTTTTCTGTGGGTGTGACATCAAGCCCACAATATAAAAGAGAAATCGTAGTACTACAGATTACAGCAGGTGTTGATGTCAACAGTGTATTGATAACAGTGACTGTCGTGATTATATTGCATAATGACAAATATCAACCCTAACTAAAAATTTGCATTCGTTGCAAATCAATGAGCTGATTTATTTTGGAAAGTGTTACCAAGATGTGATTTAAACTGTACCAGGTAAAAACTTTGAAGTACAATTTCACTTTCTTTTACGTTTTAGATTATTTGTAGCATTTTTTCTCCTACTTTCGTTTTCTTTTTTGACCTTTTGATGTGTGTGGTCATTGTTAATTACAGAAAAATTCAGTCAACATGTACAGCGTATATATTATTTCATACAACTGAGCTATGGGACACAATATTATTTATCCCTAGTGTTTGTTTGTGGCACTGTTTTTCCAACTTTCGTTTTCAAATGGAAGTAATTTGTTTAAATACTGTTAGTTTCTTACCTTCACACATCACGTATAATATATTTGAATGCTGAGTAGGAATGTTTAATGTTATTATAAAAATATTACGATATTTTAAGGTAACGTGAAATTGTTTATACGTACCCCGCCAAAACCATTGCTGACCGAGGCGGAGCCGAGGTTAGCAATGGTTTTCAAGGGATAACAATATTATATGTTACCCTAAAAAACATATTATTTTTTTTTATACAGAATGTATTTAGAAAGCATTGAAAAAAAAACCTTCAAGATGAATCGTACGCGCAATCATTCTGGCCAGTTAACAATTTTTATACCTTTGCTCTTCTCATGCATTTTCATCCGGCCGTTGCTATATGTAATGTACTGGGAGGGCGTGGTTTATGCAAAAGTTAGGGTAAAAGTACTTTTTAACAAATATTTTTAAACCAATCAAATTTGACTATTTAACATGAAAGTATAACAATTCAAATTACTTAATTTGAAAAAAAAATATCTTTGTGAGAACAAAATTAAATTAAGCTTTAAAAAAAATTAAAGAAAGGTCAGCAATCTCGTTAAAATCAGGTATTTGATACACTATGAAATTCTGATTGTCGATATACAGTACTTTGCATGCAAATTATCATGAAATCTTTGGAATACTACTCTAAGAATTTCTTACATACATGTATAAGTCAAAAAAGCCTAAATGACTTGAATGCATATAGAGCTATTGGATAAGTGCACACTTAAAACAGTATCGTGAGTTTAGGCCTTAAGTTAAAGTTCATATTTCAGACAACTACAAATTGAACATGGAAATGTCGTCCAGCAGTTTGAAAGTACCTACTTTTACAGATCCTCCAGATTTTGAAAAATCAGGTACTTCTATTGAATGTATTCTCTGTGTGTGTGTGTGTGTGAGAGAGAGAGAGAGAGAGAGAGTGAGTGAGGGTGTGTGTGAGAGAGAGGGTGTGTGTGAGGGAGAGAGGGTGAGGGTGTGTATGTGAGGATGTTTTATGTGTGTGTGTGTGTGTGTTAACGTGTGAGTACATCTTAAAATAATTATAAATATGGTGTCGTGTAGTGTTTTAACCCATATTCCATCTAACTGTAAGTCAAGCAGTTATTTTTTGGCAGCTTATTCGGTATCCATAAGATGCATGTTGACATAAATAAGTTGCATGTTAACATAATGATCTTGCATGTTGACATCAATAAGTTGCATGTCTACATAATTCTATTGCAGATTGCTTGTATGATGTCGTATACTGGCGTTAGTAAGTAAGTTTATCAACATTAAAGTTAGATTCTAAAAAAAGATTGGTATGGTGGCATATTTCTGCCTCCTACATGCAAGATAAATTATGTTAACATGCGAGAAAAGTATGACAACATGCATAATAATTATGTTGACATGCAAGTTACCAATTATTTTTAAGAGAATCTAATATAAATGTTGGTAAACATACTTACTAACGCCAGTATACGACATCAAACAAGTAAGATGCAACAGAATTATGTTGACGAGACTTATTTACGTCAACATGCAAGATAATGTTAACATGCGACTTATTTATGTCAACATGCGACTTATTTACGTCAACATACAAGATAATTATGTTAACATGCAACTTAATTATGTCTCCATGCGACTAACAAATATTTATGTCAACATGTGAGTTATATTTTAACATGCAAGATGATTATGTTAACTTGCAACTTATTTATGTCAACATGCGACTTATTATGTCAATATGCAACTTATTTATGTCAACATGCGACTTATTAAAACATGCAAGATATTTATAACAACATGCAAGATGATATTTTAAGCCTCGCCCTCTATCATGTTTTCTTACTCTCGCCCAAATATGGCTTATATTTCAAGACAGTAACCATGTATTTTATATATAATCGGTAGAAGATGACAATTAATAATGCTTTAGCCAGTTTACCGAGACATGGGCATTAGGTATTAAAAGTGCCACCTTTTACTGATTTTATTATTATTGTTTTATAAATGCATGAAAGATGAGTGAGAGGAAATTTATCTGTAATTATATGTGTAGGTGAAGTGTATAATTTCATTATTAGGAATTGTTGTACTTTTTATGTTTATATTTTCAGGAGTCGTATGTGTTTTCAAAGCATTGAGAAAAGAATATAATAAAATATTTAGAACCACAGTTTATCAGTTTAAAAAATGGAATTTCCTTATTACATCAAAAGAACCTCTAAACCTTCTTAAAAAACAATTAGAAGACATAGAAACTAAAGTAACACTAAAAATAGCAGGTGTTTCATGTGTCGTGGCTGAGTTTTCCTCGCAGATTCAAGACGAAAACTTTTACCTGTGGGTGGATAAATGTTTTGAAGTTCTAGAATACTGTTTTAGGGACTTAGTTTTGTTAATTTTGAGTGGACCTCGGGAAGAAATTCAACATCTTTCTACAGAGATAGAAAAATCCGGTATGGTTGGGGATGATTCTATATCAGTATTTGAGATGAAAGATGCAACTGGAATTCTCCTCTTGGAAACAGGAGAAAATATATTGGATCTAATTCTGAATATGCAGAAACATATGAAAAACGTCAGTATCTTGAGTCCAGAGTCCAGAGAATACATTGTATTTAATGTGTTTACCATGTCTGATTTACAATTCCGACTGAACAGAGTGTTTAAAGGAACAGAGAAGACAGTGGGAGAATATCCATATATAAAAATACAGACCCTGAAACGTGATACTACCCCACACGCTCGCTGCACGAACGGTACACGCTCGCTACACGGTTTGCACGAAACGCTGCACGGTTTACACGAAACGCTACACGGTTTGCACGAAACGCTACACGGTTTACACGAAACGCTTTGAACGAAAGGCTGCACGGTTTACACGAAAGCCTGCACGAAACGCTTTGTACACGTTTCTCACACGCTTTGTACACGATTCTCGCACGCTTTGGCCTCGATCTGGATTTTCTATTCGGAATCTCTCGGACTTAATTTAAATTATTACGGATAATCAAAGATTAGTTGAGAATTGCAATCATTCTGATTAAGTTAAGATTAAACCTCGCTTCACCAGTACTACATTAACAGATAAAATACTCAATGTTCAGTTGTAATTAATTAATAGTTGTCATTGAGTATGTGACCCGCCCTGTGAAATGCCTATCATCGTCTATGTACAGACTCTAAATTACGCACTAAAAAAAAAATATTTGTAATTCATAATCTTTTACAGCATTCAATGTTTTTACAATTAAAGTTTGATATTAAAAAGTCGTTTTTATTACTGACAAATAAACTCAGTTATTGATTTGAAAAAAAAAATGATTTAATTGCGTATGATTTCTGTAAACGGATTGATTTTCTTTTCCTTTCTTTTTTTAATTATTGATTTATTCATTTTTTTAATTTAGTAAATAAATAATTTCATTTGATTAAATTAGGTTCTGCTTATAATTTGCAAAGGTAATAAGTACATGTACACTGCATCAAACAAGAACATTGTGCGTGAAAGGGTGCGGGGGGGGGGGGGGCGTTAAATTACCGAGATCTTACTTCTGTACCTGGCTGAATATATATCGGGAACTTGTTTCAGTAAGTGTACCATTGGAAAAAAATATATTATAGAAACAAATGCTCGTTCTAAGAAAAAAAAAGATATCCATATTTCCAGCGGGACCCGATACGTGTAACTCACTAAATGCACTTTATTCAGAATGGTACATGTTAATATATCGTTTCATTACAGAGTTGAACTTTAATTTATCATAAAATTCTATATGGTAGAGAAGCCGGGTATAGGTATTGTAATTCTTTAGTTCTCTTTTGAGGCATTGTGTTTATCAAATAAAAACAATATATCCACCACCTTGTAAAATCCTTGATTTCAAACCCCGTCTAGCCAAAAAAAATGTAATGAATAGTCGCGGCTCTTAACAATACATTCAATATACATGTATACATGTCCAATGACCAAAAACTAAAAACTTATGCTCTAGAACTGCGTGATTAATAAAACAACTAATACATAATTATTCAGGATTTATTTCTTTATAATCTTTATTCACGAATACACTGGCAAATTAATTCACTGTTTACAGACAATCGGTTAAATTTAAGAAATAAAATCCATGGGTATTTATTTGTACCCATTAAATACTAATAAAACAATTTAATTCATGAATTATTGTCGGTTGTCATCTTAGGCATGATTGACAAGAGCTAATACATGTAACAGAACACGTTTTCAGTTCCCGGCACGAGGTGCCCGTGATCGCTGTTGTAAATGACCTTGATCACAGTCGTAAGTGTAAAGAAGATTCCAATATATTTTTAAGGGGTGCATCGGACATCTTTAAAAAGAAAATCATTTGTAAAAACGTGTTAACAAAAACTCAAAGTTTGTGTTTTCATTTGAACACCCCCCCCCCCCTCCGGAAATATTTAACCCTATATTTGCCGATGCATGTGAATTATGATTCCTTTATATGACAATTATTAATCAACCAATTTTTTGCATAAAAAGACTATAAATGACTCATCGTTTCAAAATTATTTGTATCACAATCTTGTAATATAAGAAAATTTTGTTCGTTTATAAAGAAAAAAAATTAATTGTTTTCCCCGGACTAGAATTCCTATACTCCACATTTATGGCAACGCACTAAATTTTGTGTTTTATTTTTCACGCCTGCCTTATCTATCTATTATTTTGTATTAATTACCCATATGTTCTTGTAATCTCTTTATACCATTATTGTAAAATGAAGAAGAGATTCTAATAAATGAATGAAAAGGACAAGACCGGATTCCTGATGAATTTTCTTTAAAAAATGTTCAGTATTGCTCCCTTTAAAAAATGTATTGAATCAAATACTTTAACATTGATGTGCATATAGCCTAATTAATTACTTTTAACACATTTTCTTTCCATGTTTATTTAAATAAAAAAAGAAAGAAAATCAAACAAATATGAAATACATTACCGAGTAATTTTATTTTGTTGTCTCCGTATTTTTTTTCCTTCTTAAAATACCACCGGTATGATATATCCGAATAATATTAGTTACAAACAACACAGAATGACATGTTAATCCATCAATAGCCATATTTAAAATAAAATGACTTCCGAATGAACCCTACACGTTTCTCACACGATTCTTGCACGAAAGTCGCACGTTTCTCACACGGTTCTTACACGAAAGTCGCACGTTTCTCACACGGTTCTCGCACGCTCGCTACACGGTTTGCACGAAACGCTTTGGAGCTTACACGAAACGCTGCACGGTTTACACGAAACGCTACACGGTTTGCACGAAACGCTGCACGGTTTACACGAAACGCTACACGGTTTGCACGAAACGAAAAGCGCACGAAAGTTACACGCTTTTTTGGGGTAGTAGCACGTTTCAGGGTCTGTATGTCAAAGTGGAATGATAGTCAAATTGATAGGAAATGAAAATGATTGTGTTGCAGCAAGTAAATACCTGAAAGCTAATTCCTGGATGGCAGGTATCCACTTCGAAACTTGTAAACATTTCGATGGCCTGTTGTTCTTTTTAGGCAGAAAAAATGTTCAAGAATATATTGATAGACAGATTGCTACAATCGATGGTACCTGGGCAGTAATTACATGCACACAACCACAGAGCAATGAACTACTTTTAGTATATGGGGAAACTACACATGATACAAAAATGATAATGAACATTTTCTTAGAATCTATCAAAATAAGAGAGTACTGCGTCATAAATTCAACAGATACGGAGGAAATCGTCCACAAGTGGAAGCTACATGCCGAACATCTGGAGAAGAGTCTTCAAGGCAAACTTCATCTTGATTTACATACAAACACAAAGAGAAATGCTGGCTTCGTAATTTTAACATTTGTTTACACATCTGACCTTGAAGAGGAGGAAAGTTTGAAGATGCTTTTACACGAAGTCGAACTACGAGTACCAGGAAAGGAGTCAATACAAATGAAGCCAAAATATTTTATCTGGCTTAAAAAATGTTATATGATTTTTCTGCAAACAGAGGCCAAGAGAACCAATGTTAGCATAGATTTTGTTAAAGAGAAGAACGAAGTTGCAATTTCAGGTGTTTCTGAAGCCTTGATAGAAATAAGAAAAATAATTCATTCGATCTGTATGGAAGAACAGGAAATATTGCTTCCTTTTACAGCTTTACCTGCTAACGTTACCGATTTCCTGCATGATTGCCAGTGTTGCTTTGAGTATAGTCCATATGAAAAATCAAGATTGTGGATAAAAGGAAATACAGGAATTGTTGTCTACAAAGGCGAGTTTGAACCAAACTGCTTCTATGCTGATGTCCATGTAAAGTCAGTAGAGTCTGGAGAAAGAGGTAATGTATATAAAAGTTTAAGGATTATCAGATTCACATAGGATTATTCGGTTCATTTAATTTGATAAAAATCATATTTTATAGAATAAAGACACAGAATGAGAACATTCATAAAATTCTTTATCATGTCTTTCATAATTTTAAGATAGGACAAATATTTATTAAAAAAGAAAAGTATGCAAGATTTTCTCTAAATATGTTTTTAAATTGTGATTCATATTAAAAGAATATACATTATTTCAGTAGGATGTTAAAAATTTACATATTATAACATGTATAAGTCAAAAGAAAATATGTTGCTTTCTAGTTTTTTTTTCTTCGTTTGCCGTCCCTTTTAAATATTTTTGTATATAACATGTCATTTTAAACCAAATATGGTAGAAACCAACTGACAATCACATATAGGAATACTCCCTACCAAAATTGTAATTTGGTTGTATTGTGGGAGCATGGTTGAATAGATAATATAGTAAAAATATATTATGCCTTTGAAAATTGTCTTTACTCGAGGAATTGTCACACAAACTGTAATGCATGAAGATATTAAACTGTAACTCTCCAAGAAAATTATAAAATTTATTTTACTAGTGGGGGGGGGGGGGGGCTGGCAAAGGTTATTAAAATGCATTTTAACTTTGAAGTTCTTTATTACTGTACAATAAGTAGACAAATTATAAATTGTAAACTGTAAATTTCCTATATACAAATATGTAAACATCAAATCATCACATCAAAGATCGGCCATATGCTGTAAAATTCGTGATTTTGAGGTGAAAATTCGGCTTATGCTTCACTGAAATTACAATCTAGTTGCATCTACGTATATAATATTTTGTGAGTTCTTACGATTTTATATTTTGGCAGATATGGTTATTGAATGGCTTGACGACGAGAAAACTGCATTGCTGAAATCCCCATTGTGCTCTGAAGGAGGGACAAGAGAGAAAAATCAAATTGAAGAAGTTTTGCAATTGTTATTTACCGAAGTTAAAGTGCAGAACAAAAAATATGTAGCTTTTGACTTGCAAAACGTGGTATTTTGGCAAGTGCAAACGTTTGTTAAAAGTATTATTGACTGTGTCCCCAAACCCCCAGAAGGCCTCATAATTTGGATCAGTCACCCTGATGAAAAAGCGTTTCAAACTGCCGTAAACTGCCTTAAGGAAGCAGAACTCACTAAGACTGGGCAAAGTATTACAATTAATCATGTTGCTTTCTTTATGTTGACTTATTTTGAATATGTATATGCTTTCACTTTCAAAGAAATTTATTTCTATCTACGTATAAGTAATTTAAAGTGACTTACAGATGTTACATGAACAGTGTGTACTTTGTATTATGAAATAATTTCAGAAGATAAAATGAACACTGTAAAACATAGTAACTTTAAGCTAATGATATATTCATATTTTCCAGCTATTAAAAGTTCCAAAATTGAGTTAAAAGTCATCCAAGGAAGTATAGCAGAACTACCAGAAAAGGTATTTTATCTTACGACAATCAAGTAAGCTTTTATGATAGAAGATGATCAATTCTCTCTCTTTCTGTCAAAAAAAGAGAGAGAGAGAGAGAACAGAAACTCGATCTACTCTATAGGCACTGAGCTGAAAAATACAAATTAAACTAAAAAAATATTTTTGTTGTTTTGCTGTGTATATTTTTTCAACTTCCAAAAAAAAATTTTCTATGTTGCACTTTAGGGACGATTGATCTCCACCGGAGAAATAGTCAACTACGTGTACTTGTAAACACGATACAATAACGTCGGCTACCCTATGTCCGAGTGGAAAAAAAATTTGCATTGATGAGAAATAGTTTAATTTATGTTTATGTCAAAAAATTGCAAAGCATGGCCACTAACTTATTTTTATTTTGGCCAGAGTAAGTGTTGTCATGTATCTACCTTTTTATTTGTCACAAAGAAGAATGTAACTCATTTGAGTGCTCTTTCCCTGGGAGCCTTTATCAGTTTTCACATTTGAATACTGTGTTCCGTTTAAATCTGAACACGACTCGTAAATAGGCATACGCCATTTTCGATATTACTATCCAAGATATCAGCACCGGGTTATAGTCTTCGCATTCGTTACACCTGACTGCTTTATTGTCACGGGTATCGGTGTGGAATGTTCGTGCTGGTTGTCTTGCATTACTTTTGTTTACATTTTATTGCAGTTACGTATATTTGTGTTTGTTTGTATACTGCACTGACCTGTGCAACTGTTGTAAATCTCTTTGGTATCTTACTCTCCTGCATTAGAAGAAGCACACAGTTATTTTTGTCGCTACCAAGTGCTGTATAGCATACGTCCGTCTACACCGGTGACAATTGATTACACTGAACAGTGACCAAGTGAGCGGCTCTATATATAGGGTCCCTCAGATATAGCGAGAGTCCAATCGAATATGACGGACAGATTCTTTTTACGAAGCGTGTTCAGCTTTAAGTTACGTATATATGTACTTAGTATATAGGGTAAGGTTGAAGTGTTAAAGATAGCATTGAAAATGGACACTGTAGCAGATTCAGGATTTTCAAAAGGAGTGAAATCTGAAAGGAGTAAAGAATATTCTACATAAACATCACGTACTGAAAGGGTGTAGTCTTCTCTTGCATAGTAGTGGTGGGAGATGGGGGTCGAGAACTAAAAAGAAAATGAAGTTCAATGTCAGTAAAGAATAAGACATCAATTTCCATTTAAATTTTTCATCTTTATATCTACATGTAGCATTGCATAGCTCTGCCATTATCGTCACAAGTATTCTAAGAAATGCATTGGTACTTTTAGGTAGATGTGATTGTAAATACAACGTCATTAAGTTTAGATATGACAAGTGGAGCAGTTTCCACATCCATATTAAAAGCTGCAGGCGATGAACTGAAAACAGAGATAGCCCAATTTCCAGCCAACCGCAAAAGAGGTCAAACAATTAGGATCAATTATGGGGATGTTGCCGAGACTTTTGGATATAGATTAAATTGTGAGAGAATCTTTCACGGGGCCCTTTATAAATGGAAGGATGATCAAGAAAAAGCATTCAACGTAAGTTAAACCGTGATATAAGTAATTTTTTTGGTCTTATCTTTGAAAATTATTTCATATTTTACATAAACACAATTCATATTTTTTGCTCTCTAATCACTAAACTGAAACAGATAGATATTACCAACTAAAACTCTCAGAACTTTAGGAGTTATTCATCAGTGTTGATCGACCCTATTGTAAAATGATGAGACAGATGTCCTCTTGATTAAGACCCCTGGGGGTATGTTTATCTATATTGAATGCTTTAAAAAAATCATCTCCTGGACACTTGAGAAACAGTATACGTGATGTTACTATCTAAAAGATATAAACTTTTACAAAAAGTTTTTTTTCTCAGAGTTCAGCTCAATTCTTGATATTGGGTGGGTCAAGTCCATCATTTATCTGAAATAAATTACACAGCTACATTTTAACCTCTGAGCATCTATCAGACAGTTTATAAGAGTTGTGATTATTAACGACGTAATCTCTACCTAAAGTCATAAAATATTTTGTCCAGAATTCTAGGCAAAGTTTGGTGAGGTTCTGATGATATTGAAATAATTGTCAAGGTATATTCACAGAAAGTTAATTAAAAGTTAAATGTCTTGTTGACTGTCTTCTATTTAAAACAGACTCTAAGGGTCAAATTCATGAAAAAATGGACGATGTTGATTTTTTTTTCTTTTGGGGGGGGGGGGTGCTAAAGATAAGAACTTAAGTTATGTTTTCCATTCTTCGACAAGGTTCTTCGAAAATTTGTGAAGAAGTGCATATCTCTGGCAGACGAGAGAAAATTTAAAACTTTGGCATTCCCTGCCATTGGAACCGGGCAGTTAAAGATTCCTGCAGTTCTGGTAGCATCTAGTGTGAAAAGTATAATTGAAGAGTATGCAGCATCAGGCGATCACAAACATGTAGAAAAAATCTTATTTGTTATTCATGAAAAAGATGAAGAAAATTTCAATGTGAGTTTAGTTTTTTAGCAAATAAACTCAGCAATTTTTAACAAATATATTTTTTCCTTCTATATATAGTTTTTGGTCTGATTTAAAAATCCGTTGCTCAAAAAAGCAAGGATAATAATTAAATTTTATTTATTGTTTTGTCACCTATCTACTTGGTTTTTCATATCCAGGTGTTACTTTTCTCTTAATTATATGTACAACTCAAGAGCTACAGTCACACAATAGAGACTTCTAGTCTAATGTGGAGAAACAAAATTCTTATATCATCTAATTGTATCTTTTCTTTTTAGGTGTTTAGAACTATCTTGGAGGAGGAAAATGGTAATTGTAATGCATATATATTTAATGTTTTACTTAGCAAATGACCAACCCCAAAGAGAAAGTAAACTAATCTGAAACAAAACAACACACTCATAAAACAAACAAATAAATAAATAAACAAAAAGACTCCCTAACAAAAAACTACTTTTTCCGGTTATAGTTGTTTAGCTGTGAAGTCTTAAATGAGAGATTCATAGATTATGGACATGCGATATTGATTATATTGAAATTCTTAAAAATATAAGATATATTAAAAAAAAATTATAATGTGGTTACTGATTGGAGGAAGATATGTTTGGAAACAGGCCTTTATTAAAGGTTAGTGGGTTCTATTGCTTAAGCTCAAATCAATTTGTCATTTTATGGATTTAAAAAAAGCTTAAGTTGTAACTTATCTCTAAAAATCTTTCAGCTTTTACAGCAAAATTCTATATCCCAACTCCCTATGTTTTGGAAAAGACCCATATAATTTTGAGGTCATAAATGCAAAGACATTTCTAATTAATTTATTAAAAAAATCTACTGTATGCTTAACACAGTGGAGCTTATTTGAACATCAAAGTCCTTTGGTATTAAAGACTATTTTCGATCTATATTATGTCTTACAGGGAACACAATAGAAACGCCTGAAATTCCAGTGCTTTACAGATTTTCTGTGTATGGCGAGAAACATAATGTTGTCAGTGCAATGAATGTTCTTGAGGGACTGTTTCGAGAATATGTTAAAGAAAAATATGAATTGGTAAGCATATCACAGATTGCTACGCACAGCTGATTTGATATTTACATTTTCAAATCTCCTTATCCGAAATAAACCACAAATTTGGAAATGCTTTATATTTTCATAAAGTGCTTTGCTCAGCATGTGTGACAGAACTGCTTTCTCACTGTGTAGTACATCGGGGATTGCAGACTTGGGTTGCTAATTAATGTATAAAAGTATCTTTTTTATCGAATCAAGGATCAGGTAAAAAAGGAAATATAAGGAATAACCGTCTGGTTTTTGGTTTCATGATGATGATAAATCAGTTTGCTCTCAAACTGATTGATCACATCATAAATCTTAAAAAAATAGACACTTATTCCCTAAAACGATAAATGTACACGATGTAGTCTATGGAGAAAACAAAGCAAATTTCTATGGAGGGATTGTCAAAAATACTCTAGACTAAGTATTAAACTATGTATATATCATTTTTTTTTACAGTTATGAATATTGGGAAAAGTGAAAAATAATTATAAAAATACCTGTGATGATACTATGATTTTCTCTGTACTTTGCAATTTTGTTTAGTCTTACTCCTTGAAAAAATAGTACTTTTGGTATATAGTATGCTGAATGAAGTGATGTCCTCTCGTTAATTGTTTCAGTCGATGTTTTCTCAAGAGGAAGAAAAGAAAGATGCACATCAGCAGGAAAGTGTTCAAGTTCAACCTATTGTACAAACAAGTAGGTAAAAAGTGATATAATAGCACCTTACTAGAAATTGATTGAACAATATTTGAGAACTTTTTATACTGAGGCGATTTTTTTTTTCAGTTTGGCTAATACCCATTAAGGAATTCAGTCTAGAAGCGTTATTTTTAGTCTCCAAATTAAACCTTATTATGAAGCATTTATTCATTTTTTTCCAGATATATTAGTTTTTTTAGCTACTGAGTAATTCTTTTCTTAGTTTATAGTGTTATAAATATCAGTCCAATGCAAAATCGAATTTTTACGAAAAAGCTTTATAAGTAGCTTTGGATATATACAGTCCCTGAAACGTTCTACTTTCCCACTTGAACGGTGAGCGAACGCTGAACGAACGCAGAGCGAACGGTGAGTGAACGATGTGTGAACGCTGAACGCAACTTGGTGAACGACGTGTGAACGGTGAACGGTGAGCGAACGCAGAACGCGAACGGAGCGCAAACGCGAACGCAAAGTGAACTGTGAACGAACGGTGAACGCAAGATGAACGATATATTCGGAATGCCTCTGATCTTTTCCTTGCATTGAAACTATTATATTGTATTATAATGTCAGGTGCCAAAAAAAAAAATAATAATAATAAATAAGTAAACAAATTAATGAATGAATAAACAAGTCAATAAAATAAATTCTCCAAAATTGTCCTAAGAAAGACGATGCATGCACATTAAGTTTTTAATCACACGATTTTTATCGCATTAAAACATTGCAATTGTTGCCGAACGCTGAAGTATAAAAGATATTGTTTTTAGTTGGAAAATAAAAATGTTTATTCTTATTTGATAACAAATCAGAAAAAAACTTATGATTTATAGAATGAATTAAAGCGGTTGTAACTTATATTTATATACATATCTCCGTGTCAAGGCGATTTCGTGTAAAGTAATGAAAAAAAATAATTACAATTATACGCTCGTATTTTAGATTTTTAATACAATAATGTATTATGTGTCATTTTTATTTTTCATTATGATTTATTGAGCAGACGTCTACATGTATCTCTAGATGGCGGTGATTATACTCGGACAAGATGATACAAAGATACATATTCATATTATTTGTTATAAATTCAATTTTCAGAACATGATATTTAAGTAATATGGTGTTATAGTTTTTATTAAACAGACAAATGAGAGAGAGAGAGTACTATTCAGTTTTAGCCCCCCCCCCCTTTTCAGGCTTCACCAAATGCTTGTACCTATATCAAACAAAAACTCTGAATTTTTTTTCTAAATATATCAGACAGTGAAAGTAACTTTTTTATTTATCAACAAATCATATCCATTTGTTTGACAGTCATACTCGTTTTTATTTTCCTGCTTCAAGTTCACACGAAGTCCACGTGCTTGCCCTGTCCTGTCAATCAAAGTCATTCGACACTGTGCAGGTGTGAAAGTTTCGTCACATCGAAGACGAAGTGCGAGTATTTCCAACAAGTTATAACATTTATTTTTATCATTTCTAGATTTGATTCCAACATTTGAATAATAAATTAGTAAATTACATTGGGCATTAACACTTGAATGTGAAACATACTCTCTGCCAATTTCAAATACCACAGCCGACACGTGTACATTTTGATCTACTATTGTTTTGTGACTTTTTACGATGCATGTTTGTTTTGAGACTGAATTTTTTGTTCTAAAAAAGACCGTAGCTTTTTTTTTAAATGTTAATTAAAATATTCTGGAAATACGGTACTGACTAAGTCACCGATTTAGGGGGAAAGGGGGGGGTGGTATTAATCATATCGAATGGCAAACATATAAAGTTACGGTGAAGAAAAAATTTTTTCTCTATAACTATAGACTTTACATATTACAGTAGAAAAATTCTGTAGTGCATTACATTTTAAATAAATATTTCCTTTAACCACACTATCATTTTAATTGGTTCTATAGATAATAAATTAACAGGATATCTGCAGTACTATGTATAACTCTCAGAACTAATTCTATTATATTTTCTGTAGTAATTGAAGAAAAAAAAAAAGTAATAGAAATAAATATTTTCGAAATTTTGCTGCGTAATTATTTGACTTGAATAATTATATCTCCATTAACGATTTGTCGTCTTTAACAAAACAACAAAATGTTGCACTGCTTAAAGTATTTGCACATTGCCCTTAGTTAAATTTAATATTTCAGCATCGTTCTACATAGGTACAGAATGTGCTTGTAACAACATTTATTTTCCAGAGTAATTTAATAAATATCCTAACAGCTAAGTTAGAATAATAAAAATATATATCGTAGATATTTTTCCTCATGAAATAATGATTCTTCAAACACGATATGTTAGTTAATAAATTAAAAAAAACCCTGTAACTCCTTAACTACAAAAAGATAAGTCCTTTCACTTCAGAGTTCCGAATGACAATGAAAACTGAACGATAGGTGAACGCTGAACGCAAGGTGAACGCAAAGTGAACGGAACGAAGAGCGAACGCTGAACGCTTTGTGAACGGTGAACGCGAGCGCACGGTGAACTGTGAACGCAAAACTGTGAACGGAGAGCGAACGGTGAACGCACGGTGAACGAACGGTGAACGCACGCTGAACGAACGGTGAACGAACGGAAAAATGGGAAAGTAGAACGTTTCAGGGACTGTACATGTATCTTAAATTTGCTATCAATGGCGACACAAAATTCCTTGGAAAACCAGCTTTTTTAATTTTTCAGATTATGAGGTTCAATATATGAAGCTGTTCAAAAAAGCCAATAAATATTTGAACGTTATTTGTTTAATTGTTGCACAGTATAATCTTGCTTGTCATCAATCAGTTAAAGTGAAATAAATATTTTAAGTTTTCTTTCACGGATGATATAAAATTCTTAAATGCTTACCATAATGTTTATCGCAGAAGAAAGAAAACTATTTTTTATAATTCTTTTCTTTAAGATGAAAATGCCATTTCTCAGCCACCTTCTACGGTTTCCTCCACCGAAGAGTAAGTTTAACGTTTATTTATTTCTCTGAAAAATAATTGAAATCTTTCTTTTCTTGAAGAAATTAATAAGTGTTATTTATTAAACATATTTGTAGTCCGTTACAAACGATATGTAGTACTAGTATAATATCAAGACTCTAGGTTAGGTTCACGTATCATATTTATTTCCTATGTAAAACAAAGAAAGAATTTTACTGTTTATGATCAAAGACTTTAGGATAGCAATGCAGCATGTAACACATATATTAATTATTATGCATATCATTGTTTCAAATTGTAAACACCAGAATTAAATTTACAATATCATATTTTTTTCATCCAAATTGTGCCCGACATTTTGTTTCTGGTGGAAGTTAAATGTTACAATTTTTTATTTCTTTTCCTCTTTGATTTTGTAACTGTGTTTCTAATTGCAGAAATAAATTTGCCTTCTCATACGAGGACCAACTTTGTCTTCTACTGCAAAGTAAAGAGAAAATGATTTTAACGGAGGGAAATCTTGGACCAGTTTTAAAAGATGCGAATTGTGAAAACATAATATGTCCATTCTTAGAGGAAGAATGTGCATTGATTAAATTCAAATCAGCAAATGGTAAATGCTACTTTAGATAGCTATTATATTGCAAATTTTAATTCGTTACGAGTTGTTATATTCTTTGATACTATCGTTTACTAGGAATGAATAAAGACTTACTTTCTTTTCTTACTCGACAGTTGCAGATAAATTCTTTAGAAGCTTTGTAAATGAAAAATACACTTTGCAGAAACTACCTATCCAGGTAAAAAATACGAGTATCTATCTCTATTATCTACTGAATATCTATCTCTCTCCTAGAAATTTGTTATTCTGAAAATTGAAATTAAAATTTAAATGAATCATGATCATTAGTAACGAATTTACAGTAATCCTCGAAACCTCTTTTATATTTGCCACTTATAAAATATTCAAAGAAAATCATATTTTATTAATTTTATATACATGCTACAAGAGAGACATTTTTAGAGAGATAAAAATAATGAAAGTAAAAATAAGTATCACAAAGAAAATATAATGAGAAATCCCTATGTCTAAAATCCACGAAAATATTAGAGAAATCTAAATGTCTGAAATATAGATTAATGATGAATTCATAACTATTTTAGCTCACCTGAGCCGAAGGCTCAAGTGAGCTTTTCTGATCACATCAGGTAGTGTAGACTCAGGTTTGTTGAAATTATGACCCCCAGGGGTAGGGTGGGGCCACAATGGACGATCAAAGTTTTACATAAGAATATGTAGGAAAAAATCTTTAAAAATCTTCTTCTCAAGAACAGCAAATCCATGATTGGTCATATTGATATGGAAGCATCCTTAGGCAGTGTAGATTCAAGTTTGTTAAAATCATTACCCCTGGGGTAGTGTGGGGTCACAATGGGTGATCAAACTTTTACATAGGAATATTTAGGAAAAAATCTTTAAAAATCTTCTTCTCAAGAACAGCAAAGCCATGATTGCTCATATTGATATGGAAGCATCCTCAGGTAGTTTAGATTCAAGTTTGTTCAAATGACCCCCGGGGTTGGGTCATAATGGGTGATCAAACTTTTACATAGGAATATATAGGAAAAAATCCTTAAAAAAATTTGTTCTCAATAATGGCAAAGCCATGTTTGCTCATATTTATATGGAGCATCCTAAGGTAGTGTAGATTCAAGTTTGTTGAAATGATGACCCCCGGGGGTAGGGTGGGGTCACAATTGGTGATCAAACTTTTACATAGGAATATATAGGAAAAAAACTTGAAAAATCTTATTCTAAAGAACAGCAAACCTTTGTTAAGTCATATTGATATGGAATCATCCTCAGATAGTGTAGATTCAACTTTGTTCGAATCATGACCCCCCAGGGTTAGGGTGGGGCCACAATGGGGGATCAAAGTTTTACATAGGAATATATAGGAATTTTTTTTTCAAGAACAGAAAAGCCATGTTTAGTCATATTGGAAGCATCCTCAGGTAGAGTAAATTCAAGTTTGTTCAAATGATGATTCATCCTCTGGGGGGAGTTTAAAAGGGGGTTGGAGGGGCCACAATGGGGGATCAAATTTTGAACAAGGGAATATATAGGAAAAAAATCTTCTGCTCAAGAACAGCAGAGCCATTTGTTATATTGATATTGAAGCATCCTCAGGTAGCTTAAAATTCAAGCCCCCCCCCCCCCCTTTAAACTTTTCAATACTGAACTGATTTGTTCTTTTTCCTAGCTAATGGGCTCAGGTGAGCGATGTGGCCCATGGGCCTCTTGTATGCCTAGGAACTGAAATACTAGTATTGAAATTCTAAAATTGCAGGCAGTAACAAACATAAAAGCAAAGCTAAGTTCTAAAGTAATAAGCATACTAAAAAGGAAAGGAGTTACATCAGAGGATTTTAAGAGGAAGACTGGAGCTTATCTTGGCACTGATACATGGACAGTAGGGGGAAGCTTGCTAATGGTACAGAATGGAGAGAGATTTATTAAAGAGTTGGTAGTGAAAGAGTATGAAGCACCAAATTTCTCTATACAAAATGTGAATCCCTGCAAATAGTCTGGATTCCACACTAGACACAGATTTATCAAGGAAGTATTCAATAAAATGTAGCATACATAAAGAAAAAGCACTAAGAGATCAGGCTCCGGGGCCATAAAACTGAGACGAGCTCACTTTTGATCTCAGTCTCACTTTTCCACTATATATTCCTTCTATGAAAGTGAGACAAAGATCAAAAGTTAGCTCGTCTCAGTTTTATGGCCTCGAAGCCTGTTTTAAGGGAAAAAACTGCCTTTTTCCAATGTGAATATTGTTGAAGATATAGCACACCAAATGGTGATAAATGGAACACACAGAAATGTAAATCCCTTTGAAAAAGCCCTCTCAGAATTACAATTTGAAGAACTTTTAGAAATTTTCTTGGTGGAATTTCATGACTTTGAGAAAAATAAATCAGAGAATATTTCAGTTTCATTTGATAAAAAAAGAAAAACTATAATAATACTTTCGAGATCTCTTGAATTGCTACAACGTTCCGTTGAGGAGTTTCGAAGATTTCAACATGATTCTTTGGCTTTAACTGAGGGAGAATTCAATTCGATCATCTTTTTTGAGAAGTCATTGTTTAAAGATTTTCCAACGATTGATGGGAAAATAATGGTTGAAGGTCCTAAATCTTTCCTTGATCAATACAGATTAGCATTAGATAAATTGAAAAATTATCATGTTCAGAGTATTTCTATTTCAGACCGTGTCAGAAGTGATGTAAATATGTTTTTATCTCGGTTTTCAAGAGAAAATAAAAATGTATTCATTCAAATGAAAGAGAACAAAATATTTATTACTGGGAAGAAAACGGACGAAGTTCTTCTGGCAAAGCAAAAAATAGAAGAACAGATAGAAATCATGAGAAAACAGACCATAGGTCTGGCAAGCAGTGGTGTCCCTGAACATAGCTTAGCCTCAGTGAGTACGAAAAAGCACGAGAAAGCTGACATCCCAGATGTTAATCCTTGGCTTGTATCGCCTAAGAAGACAGACATTGTTTTTGAAAATAGGGACGTGAGAGTTTATGTTTTCAATGACTTATTCTCCAAGTTAAAGCAAATGCAATTGTGAATCCGATGTCGACTAATTTATCTCATTGCATACTCAGGGAAGCAGGCCCCTCAGTTCAAATGCAATGTTCTGAAATTTTTGATTCAAAGAAAGATAAAATAAACATACTTCACCTTGGAAAAGCCTTTGTTACAGACGGGGGCAAATTGTCTCATCTGCTAAAAATCATACATGTGAATGTACCAAACTGGAATAATTACGCTGAGTTAAAAGTAGAGAGTCCATTTGAAAAGTGTATGGAAGATATTGCTGAAACAGTGAAAGTTTCTCTAGAGAAAGGACATCACCATAATGTTAATGCCATTGCAATACCACCTATAAGTACATGTAAGTAATCATAATTAATACACACTAAAAGACATCCAATAAGATTTAAATAAAAAAAAAATTTACTTCGAACCTTTATTAAATTTATAACATATCAAATCCGTATACATGTAGTATTCTACCTTTATCTTCACTTCAAAAATATGAATATACATGTACCATCTTTTTTTTAAATGAAAAAAACAAACAAACAAAGACACTGATATGCTCTTTAGTGACGTCCTTTTTTTGAAAAATATCGAGTAATGAGTAAAATGCAAAATTTGCTGTTTAGTCAATAATCGAAGGTGTTTCGAAAAGGTTCTACATATCTCTGCATCTTCTGTCAATAAATAGACCATCTTTTGCCGATTTGTGCGCTCAACCTGTTTCACTGGATCATATATACCTCTATTTTATTAATATGTTACTTGATTAAAAAGGAAATGTAGTTTCAAATTTCAAACATTGCAAATACATGTATAAGATTAATAAAAGTAATTTTAATGAACTAAGCAAAACTCAACTAATTTGGATTTTTAATATACAATTTTTAGTGTGCTTCTTTCACTCACATAGTATTTTTATCTTTTAGGAAAAAAATGAAGATGGATAATTCCTTAATTTTATTTCTTTCAGGTGGAGTTGGATCTGTACCACTTCCTGTTTGTGGTAGAGCATATGTATCAGCTGTGACGTCATACATAGATGCTTACCCAAAGGAAGCCACAAATAAAATCAGAGAAATCTATTATGTTGACACAGATCAGTCTAAATTAGACGCCATTAAATTCGCATTTAGTGGTTTACAACATTGGGTTTTCCATCAAGCTGATAACGAAAAGCATTTCTATCACGGTGAAGGGAAAGTAGTAAAAATACTTGCCAGTGAAATTTTATTTGCAGATGCTGAAGCATTAGTAGCCCCACAGGATGCTGAAATGAAAAGTGAACGTTATATTGCCAAAAGTCTTAAACGATGCGAATGCAAATCATATGATCAGGAAATTGCCAATTTTCATAGATGTGCATGGTGTGTCGGAGATATCAGAACCACATCTGCTCCAAAATCTTTGAAATTTTACCATATTTTGCACGTTTATTCCCCGAGTTGGAGATCCGACGTTCCATTAGATGTAAAAGCTAGAGACTTGAGGACCTGCATTAAAAACATATTCAAAGAGGCATCAAAACTTAAGCTTGGGACAATTGCAATACCAACATTTGGTGGAGGTAATTAACTCTGATTTTGAACGCTGTTGTGTTTGCAAAATTTAGTTATATAATTTTCTATATTTAAAAAAAAATATGATGTAAATGGTTTTTCAATGCTTTAACAAATGTATCCAATTTTGCTTTTCATGTTAACGTTTTGCTTGTCGAGAAGAAAGATACTAAAAGTTTGTACAAAGATGGCCAATAAACCATCAATATATAATTACATATTTTCTTCATTTTTAGGAATAAAAGACAATATTAGCAAGCAAAAAATATTTAAAGAAACTGCTGGAGCAATCGTTGAATGTCTTAAAGGAACTCCTGGCTGCACTATTCGTGTCATTTTCATCATAGACAGTGATGAATTGAACATTGCTCTAATGATTTAAAAATTTTACAAGATATTGGGTCAAGATGGAAAGAAACAAAACATGGACTTCATTGACGTTCAAAGACCTAATTTACAAGTGTCAAAAACTGAGATTTAATCTGGAGAGCGTCCTAGTAAATTGAACGGTTTGAAATGTAATGTATATCAATTTAAAAAAAGTGAAATTAATTCTAGTATATCCATATCTTTCTATTCATTGTACTTGCATCTTGCAGCTATAACACAAGATTTAGTACTTGGATCTCTAATTACGAACACTTCTTTTTCTGTATTGTCAAATCAAATAAAGCTCATGTAGGATTGGTATTTGAACATTAAAGTTTTGTAGGATGCAACCATGCTGCATTTTAATTTGGTTTTGTAGCAGAAGAAATTACATTATATTGTAATGCTAGAACTAGGACTAATTCAAATGTTTTGTGGCTGTATTACGTATATTGTATATGTAACCACTGATGATAATAAGAAATCCACTACTAGGGCTGATGTAGCATTAAAGGACATATTTATTTTTATTTATAATAAAATTTTCCACAATCAGAAATCAAGTAACAATGTTAAGTAATGCTGCAAACTATATCATTTGAATAACGAGGTCATCCCCTATAAATATGAATTTGACTTGGTATGAATTTAAAGTTCTTCAAAAAAAGCAAAGCCATGTTAAGTCATATTGATATGGAAGCATCCTTTGGTAGTGTAGATTCAAGTTTGATCAAATCATGACTCCCAGGGGGAGGTTTGGGCCACAATGGGGGATCGAAGTTTTACATAGGAATATATAGGAAAAATCTTGAAAATCTTTTTCTCAAGAACAGCAAAGCCATGTTTAGTCAAATGACTCAGGTGAGTATTGTTGCCCATGGACCTCTTGTTTGCATTAATGTATCTCCTTTCTTTAGGTTCTTCTTGATTAAAGCAAATATATATCATACCTCTAGAACTCCTATGTTCACAGCAAGGTAATGTTATGTAATTGTGATTAAAGTACCTCACAATATTTTCTAAAAAGAAATTTTAAAATACAAATATGATTCTGCTTTATTATAAATAATAGCAACAAAACAAACATTGGTGATTAGTTTTTTTTATCAGGCTACAAACTTCCCGCTAGCAAGATTTGTAATCCTGAAAAGTATGCTAAAATTGATTCATTAAATGCGTGTATCCAGTTTTAAATATACAGAGGCTCTATTTAGTACAAGTTCAAGATTCCTATCCTCAGAGTTACATTCATACATGTATTACATTAACAATAACTATATCTATTACTTTACATGTAATTCTGTAATGTATTTTGCCTCTTACATGTATTGAAATTAAATCATGAAACTTAAAATTAACAATTATTTAAAAAAAAAATCATAAATATCACAAATTTAGTAGGGTACAGTATATACTCAGTGTACATATGTGACACACTGTATCATTTGAATCAGTACTTTTTATTTAAAATAGTATATCATTTTTTCCATTGTTATTCATTGAAATGAGTGGACAAACACACTATTCTATCGTAGCTAACATCAATGCCCACTTACATGTAGTTTAACCTTAGTAAACTGATATACTCATTACATCTATACATGGTAGTGCACTGTATGTAGTAAATAAAGTGAACTGTTACAACAAATACTTTGCACAGTGCCCCTGAAATTCATAAACCCAATATTATTTATTTCTGCAGCATTTTTTTTTAATACTGACCCTACACTCTGTACTTATCTCTTCAACTCTATAATTTTCTTTAATGCATACTGGGCAGAACCAAGTTTTATCTGCAGAATTCTTAACTCATATAATGTACAGCAACAAATAAAGATTTGATGTGAATAAATGTGTACATTCACGACTGATAAATTTGTAAGCTTTTTAGACTGATGGACATGTCTATGTTCTTATAAGTTAATGTAGCTATTTACATTGTACAATATATTTTTGTTTTAAATCACTTAGGGGATGAAGCACTGACTAAAGCAACAGTGTCAAATAAAATGACATATAATCACTTGATGTTCCCTGTTTATCCATAACCATGGTAACTTATTTTGGAATGTTACTTACAATTATAGTCCAATCACTTAACACTGGGATATTGTTAACAACCATTTATCACAATTCGAAATGTTAACCTGATTCATCACAATGATGAAAGTTTAATTTCTTTCATCACTATAAATTCAAACATGTCTGACACACCTTACAGCCAGTCATAGCTAAATGTTTTCCACTTCAAACTAATCTAACCAGCATCACAGTATCTCTATGCTAAACACTTTCTTCTAAACACAGGAAAACACATCCAGGGTATTTGGGACTGTTAAATCCAACTAACAAACACACTCCCTCTGGAAATGATTCAGTTTGGAACTGTTACTTCACACCCCCTTGGCTAAATTTCCAGTGTCATCTTTTCTTTGCTTTTTCCTGAATTTGTAATTGAAGTTGTCTATTCTCCTGTGAAAGCCGTGCTATTTCTCCTCCCAATGTATCCAAGCTCTCCTACAAGTAGAAATAAATGTTAAAATTTTGGATAAGTATTCTGATTCTTGTTTATCAAGAATCATTCAGCAATTCTACTGTGTGCTATCAATTTTGCAACGAGTAAAATTCAGGATGCAATATAGTTTACACCATAACATTTACATTTCCAATTATTTTTCTTTAAGATTCTTCACAAATTAGAAAACAGTTAATTTTTTTCATGAACTACCATGGATAATCATGATTGTCTCTCTTGTTAGGTCATAATACCAAACTTGACATTAAAGCTATAGTGTAAAATGTTTTGTTTTAAAAATGACATTTGAATGGCATAATTCTGGTAACTCATCAGATAAATAATGTAAATAGAAGAAAGGAATTTAATTTTTGAAAATTCAGGAGGTAAATGAACTTCAACATTTCACCCTAGCATATTTATCATGAAGAAAAAATAATGCGCTTCATGAAATATGCATTAAGCATTGAGTTTATGTTCGCATGAATTTTCAAAGATTAAATTTACTTCTTAATTAAACTGTACATATCAAATATGAAATATACTCATTTTTGTTATTTACGTCTGTTTCTGTTATATATTAAGGCACAAAAATTTAAAAAAAAACCATTAAATTGTCTGTTTCAATTCATCGCATGTGGACAATAGCTTCTGGTCAATTCTGAACGCAAAAAAAATTGAACAGGTGAGTATAAAACTCTACCTTCAGAGTGATATTTTTTAGGAGGGTGTCTTCTAGAACAGCCTGTAACTTGTGGTTGATTTCTAAAGAGAGGTCAAGGGTCATTGCACTGTCAGTCTGGTGAGAGCTGTACAGAGATCCCATAATGCTGTGCTTCTTGGACAACTCCACCTGTAAGTAGGAAATTATAAAATATAATAAATATTTCTGCTAGGACCACCTCATCTTATACATAAGAATGTTTTAAGCTTTTATATACACTTCAAACTGAAAGATTCTTATTAAAATTTATCAGAAAAGAATTTTTGTTAATGAGCTAGTTGTCTAATGTCTATGTCCTGTAATGAATTCTAACAAAGGAACATATGGACATTTTTCTCCCTTAACTCTTTAGTTTCCTAAGCACAGCTAGTACAAAAAAAAATTATTTTGATTCTTTCTCTTTTGTTTGCTTAAATGCCTTGCATGTCTTAAAGGCCTAAATAATAAAAAATAAACATTATTAATTATAAACTATTATATTTACAATATACACAGCCACCTCTGTATAACCTACATACATTTCAATACAAAATTTATTTTCATCATTATGTAAATACACATACTTGTCAAAATTTACAAGACAGAACACAACATCAGTGGTCAAATACAATTTGACCATGACAACTCTAAAGTAGCATATTCAAATATTAAAAAGTGCAATAATATGCAATTCCTTAGCTGAGGAGAAATTCATCAATTTAACTACATGTATCTTACTTAGATGCTTTTTAATACATGTGCATAATACAATAAAAGTGCAAAAATATTTTCTTTACAGTTTAACTATGCTAAGTTATACACTTAAAAAAACCCCCAAACTATCCAGTGTTGATAAGCTAGGCATCTATTCAATGGTAGTTTTCCTGTTTATTTAAAATGCCACATACATGTACATTGTAAATAACAAATCCTCATGCTTTGGATTCCTATCTTGTATGAAGCTTACCAACCCTTTGTTTATAGTCTATTTTAAGAGTTTTAAGTGTAATTCATGCATATTCATTAAAGACAAATATCCAATCAGCTGCTAGATAGAGAGAGCTAGAAGATCCACACACCATTTTCACATTGATGTTTGGGAGACAAGTAAAACAAGATAGAAAGCATACCTGGGATAACTCCCTGTGGTCCAGCTACAGAAAGAATCAACAAACAAAAGCTACAGGCCAATGAAATTACAGATTGAAAATATGGATGAAATCATTCAACCAATCAGGTCTCAGACTTATGGAAAATGTGAAAACCAATAGCCAATGAGATAACATATAACAAGCCATGCATACATTTAGGTACGCCTCAGCACAGAGGCAAAATCTGTCAATCAATAAATGTTTAGAAATCTCAAATTGAAGTATCCAGTAAATTCTTCAAAGCTGTATGTATAAAGTTAGGTTTTATCAACACAGTGAATGCCGTAACAAACTGTGGATATTCATGGCAGTGGACAAGAAGGGTATAAAAGAAAAATACGAAAGTTTGTTAAGGGAGATATTCAATATTGTACTTAAGGCATACTTAATTTACACATCAATATCTCACCTTACTCATGTCAGCTCTTTCTAGAGTCATTGTACCGGATTCTTCTCTCAATGCATAGTTTTGAATGATTCTAAAAAAAATCATACAAGGCAACTTTAAATCTCAAAATGGTACGGAACTGGGACAATTTATATCTAAGTGTATATGACAACATTTAAAATGAAATTTATATTTGTGTATATGACAACATTTAGAATGAAAATTATATTTAAGTGTATAAGAAAACATTTAGAATGTAATTTATTCACATTTGACTACTGCAGAGTTATAACATTTTGACTCGAAGCATTGACCAAAATAAAACATTGTGTAGTAACAAATTATCTTGCATCACATAAATATCCTGAAGGATCCGCTTACTTGTTCTTTTTCTGGATTTCATCCACAAGCTGCTGTACATGTTCGTGCATGAACTCAATTTTCTCATTCCTTCGTGCAAGGCCCCTCTGTAGTTTGACAATCCTCTCTATCAATACTCTACTATCGGGCTCCACCTGTTCCGTTATAACTGGGTATTCTTGAACTGGTTCAGAATTACCGGGGTACTTGTTCGTGTAACTGTTTGGCTGAGATGAGGTGTTCTCAGACACCCCCATCGTGTTCAGGGAGTTGCTCGAGCTTGTCCTTGAACCCATGCTAGTGGAATCCTTCTGCCCCTCTCCATTGGTCTCATAGTGTTCCAGTTTCTTCTTTGCTTGCTGCAGTTGTCTTGTGAGGTCCTATGAATATGAATAAAAAGTATTTTCATTTGGCGTTACATTTTTTCTTTGTATAAAAATATGCAGGGCAACATTTTATCCCATATTGTTTGATTAAATCCTCTTTATTACTTTCAAATTGTAGATTTTAACTTTCACAATAATAAAAAAAGAAAACAATAATTTTACTACCTGAAGAACCTGAAACATTGTTTTCCAGAACTTGCTGTTATACAGCCCTTGACTTCATACCTTGACATTGTTGACATGTTTTCTCTTTATAGTTTTGATTTCATCTTTTACATCTTCAACTTTTGCAGAAAGTTCCTCAACTACAAAACAAATATTTCAAGTAAAAACAACATTCATTTAAGCTTATGATATATGAAGAATGAATAAACTTCTTCTCCGGATGTAATACTTTAATTTCACTTGATCATGCCCATGTTGTTCAAAGACCAACATATATATGCATACTAAAAATTTAACTCAAAAGTATGTCATGAAATATTTTGATTAATTGTTATGAGAATATTTAAGCATCATACATGTACATGTACTAATACAAAAAAAGAGGCCCATGGGCCACAGCGCTCACCTGAGTAACTTTGGCCTCGCTGTTTTTCACCTGATTTCTCCCCCACCCCCACCCCCGTTAGTACTTATTGTGGCCCCGCCCTACCCCGGGGGGTCATGATTTGAACATTTAGAATCTATACTACCCCAGGATGCTTCCACATAAGTTTCAGCTTTTCTGGCCCAGTGGTTCTTGAGAAGATTTTTAAAGATTTTTCTGCATATTTCAATGTAAAACTTGGATTCCCTATTGTGGCCCCGCCCTACCCCTGAGGGTCATGACTTGAACATTTAGAATCTATACTACCTCAGGATGCTTCCACATAAGTTTCAGCCTTTCTGGCCCAGTGGTTCTTGAGAAGAAGATTTTTAAAGATTTTTTCTGCATATTTGAATGTAAAACTTGGATTCCCTATTGTGGCCCCGCCCTACCCCTGGGGGTCATGATCTGAACAATTTAGAATCTACATTACCCCAGAGTGCTTCCACATAAGTTTCAGCTTCTCTGGGCCAGTGGTTCTTGAGAAGAAGATTTGAAAAGATTTTTACTATATATTTCAATGTAAAACTTGGATTCCCTATTGTGGCCCCGTCCTTCCCTCAGGGGTCATGATCTGAACAATTTAGAATCTACACTACCTCAGAATGCTTCTACATAAGTTTCAGCCTTTCTGGCCCAGTGGTTCTTGAGAAGAAGATTTTTTAATGACCCCACCCAATTTTTGTATTATCTTGATTATCTCCCCTTTGATGGGGACTTGGCCTTCATTTTTACAATTTAAATCCCCCTTCACCCAAGAATGCTTTGTTCTAAGTTTGGTTAAAATTGGCCAAGTGGTTTTTGAGAAGAAGTCAAAAATGTGAAAAGTTTACAGACGGACGGACGGACGATGGACAACGGGTGATCAGAAAAGCTCACTTGAGCTTTCAGCTCAGGTAAGCTAAAAATTAATTAATTAAAGTTAATTAATTAGTCACTTAACACATGCTTGCTCAACTGCACCAAAGGGGTCATAATATTGAAATAGGTCATACAGGAGCTCTGAAGTCTTTGTAAAATGATTTACCTGCTTTCGATTTTTCGTCTAATTTTTCTTTCAGTTTAGCTGTTTCTTCACGTCTCATCACCTCTTCTTTCTTTAATCTTTCAGACTAAAAAAATGTTCCTTGTCACAACAGTTCTCTATCTAATAATCTAATTTATTCCCATATGCAATTTATTAAGTACTTTTAAAACAAGTCCTTGGGTAAAACTTACAATATCTCTGAAGTCTATCTCCAGGGTTTGCAGATCTACTGTGAGCTTCTCAATTTCCTCGGTTTGTGACACAGTCTGTAAACATTATGTTGGACTGTTTATTAGCCTATGTATATGGCATTATAAGCAAAAAATACCAAACCTACATAGTGCATGTGCATTCAATTTTTTTTGTTATCATGAAGAAGGATACAGATTTTATCCAAAATTTGTCAAGTACAAATCTAAAATTATATGCTTTATTCATTTATATGTACAGTAAAAACTTGTCTAATCCAAACGCCACTGGTTTCAAAGAAATTGGCTGGTTTAGATAACATTCCGTATTAGACAATATTTTAAAGATTTGAATTCATGGACAGGGACTTAAAGTTTACAAAATTTCGGAATACACAACACATCAGATTAGAGAAGTTTACACCACATTAGGCGGGATTTCAGAATACACAACATATCGGATTAGACAAGTTTCACTTGGTCTCAGGAAAGAAAGTTGGTCAACAGACTGGAGAGCTGTACTTTCAAGTACAAACTGAACATGGAAGAAAAGAATTTTGAAACTTCTCTGACATACCTAATCAAGAAAATACTTTCAATGAAGGAGTTTGACAATGAGTTTTCTCAAAATTATTGAAAAATTATGAAACTTTTTTCCACTGATGACTGCTATATTTAATAAAATTAATTTAAGAATACACTTTTGATATTGGGTGCTGACAAAAAGGCATCCCAAAGCCTATGGAAAAACAAACCAGATTCCATCAATACTAACCTTGTTGTGAAGAACGGAATTTTCTGACTGCAGTCCTGCATTTTTTTCACTGAGTTTTTTGGTTAGATCCAGTTTCTCTGCCTCCCGTTTCCGACATGCCTCCATGTCTATCTGTAGGTCCTTATTACTGATCTTCAACTCCGAAATCTCAGCATCCAGAGATTTGATTGTGCTTTGTGCCCTAACAATAAAACATTTACAGTTTAAAAAAATGTTAATCTGAATCATGCTTTCACTGGGCTTCCTTTTAAAAGTTATTACTTTTCTGTACTACTCTACATTTTGGTAAGCCTTAACCTATACAGTCTTTTTCATCCAGTTAGCCATGTGGCTTTAATGTAAACATTATGACATGCATGTATGAATAGACACATATTCAGCTTGAATGCTAGACCTGAACTACCTTGCGTACATAAACTTACATGTATATTTCACCTTTCTTTAGCTTAGCTAACATTTTTACAAAAGCAAAATCCTCCTCTATTAAAAGTCAGTCTTAGATTGATTTTTTTAAGACTCACATTTGATTTTCAAAAGACTCAATTTAAAAACATACAGCCCAAATTGAAACGTTCCTGAAAATTAAACTCAGACTTACCTTTTGAAGTATGTTTTTAACTATAAACTTTCTTTTTGAAGCCAGAATTAAAGTTGAATCCTGTTTTAAAGTCTTCCTTGAGTCTTATTTTAATTACCTTTAAATGTCTTTCTGAAAGTTTTACCTTATGAAATCTGACTTGAATTTTAATTTTTAGTCTGACTTGAAGTTTCATTGCTTTTCAAAGTCTGATTTGAATCTTACTTACCTTTTAAAGTCTGACTTGACTAGTACAAGTTCCTCCACTCTGTCCTATAACTCTTTATTTTCCTTTTTCTCTTGATTTGAATCTTACTCACCTTTTAAAGTCAGACTTGACTTGTACAAGTTCCTCCACTCTGTCCTGTAACTCTTTATTTTCCTTCTTCTCTGACTTGAGTCTTACTTATCATTTAAAGTCAGACTTGACTTGTACAAGTTCCTCCACTTTGTCCTGTAACTCTTTATTTTCCTTTTTCTCTGACTTGAGTCTTACTCACCTTTTAAAGTCAGACTTGACTTGTACAAGTTACTCCACTCTGTCCTGTAACTCTTTATTTTCCTTCTTCTCTGACTTGAGTCTTACTCACCGTTTAAAGTCAGACTTGACTTGTACAAGTTCCTCCACTCTGTCCTGTAACTCTTTATTTTCCTTTTTCTGTTTCTGAAGCATGTCTTTGTATTTAGTCATTGTTTGCTCATTCAGATCTCGCTGGGACTCCAAATTCTGACATTTCTTCTTCAAAGCTTCCATTTCCTTTAGAGTTATCTGGTGTTTTTCTTTCAGGCTTGCCAACTCTTTTACAGTAGCAGCAAAATGCTAGAATTTACCAAAATGAAACTGAGCAAATAAAATTTCTGAAACAAAGCATAATTCTATTTAACTACATTTAGTACCTTATTTCATTCAGTAAAATCTTTTCTTTTTTTTTTTTTTGGCTTTTTTAAATTCATATAAATCTGCTTTTATTATAATATTTCTATAAACTTTCACCCCCATTATTTATGTATCATGAATTTACCCAACCCCCTTGCTTCACTGAGTTACCTCCTCTTGGCTTGTTTTTTCCTGCTGTTGTTGGAGGAACTCTGATTCTTTCATCTTCAGTTCACTGTCTAGCTTGTTAGATTTGATTTCTTCCGACTCCTGAGAATAAATTAATGGAATTCAAAGCTATTCAATGATTAAAACAACACTAAATAAGTAAAAATTAATAAGTATAATTTATAATCTAATGTGAAAATTTACATCTTTCATTTACAAATAATTCATGAAAATAGAATTTTTAGGATTATTATATGTAGTAGATCTAGACTAACTCTTTAAGGCCCCAAAAATTAATTAATAGTTTCTCAGGCCAAAAATTTTAAAATTCAATGCGACAGGCAGGTTCTTTTTTTTTTTTTTTTTTTTTTTTTTTTTTTTTTGTAAGTAGGTGTTCTCTTTTTTTCCTGTCAGTCATTCAACAAAATGATGATTTCAACTGATTCTTACTTTTTTTTTAATTCTCTTACATTAATTAAAATCTATATATATACTCAACTTTGAATAATGTTATGCCAAACATCTGTTTAAAAGTTGATTAAAAAAATTCGTATTAACATGAATATACTGTTTATCTAATAAAAACGTCCAACTTTAAACAATGATGAAAAGGGGAATAACTCAATTTTCTTTTCCTACTTGGAAAAATAGAAAATTGAGTTATTTCCCTTTTCAAAATGTTTATAAAATCGATCAATGCGGCAGTTTTTGACCTGATGCGGCGGTGCCTGAGAAACTATTAATTTTATTTGGCCTAATGCAGTGCAAATCTATCATAGCTACTGGCAAGAAGAAGTCAAGAGAACCCTTTAAACCAACATACGTGTATAATTTTAATTGGTTTCACAGACCTGGTAGGATTTGATCAAATACATGAATTTTTTATTGGTTACACACACCTAGTATGTTTTGATAAAATAATTTTGATTGGTTACACAGACCTGGTAGGTTTTGATATAATATTGATTAGTTACACAGACCTACATGTATAATTTTGTTTGGTTACACAGACCTGGTAGGATTTTGATTGTTTACACAGACAGATCTGGTGGGTTTTGATGCTATAATTTTGATTGGTTACACAGACCTGGTAGGATTTTGATTGTTTACACAGACATACCTGGTGGGTTTTGATGCTATAATTTTGATTGGTTACACAGACTTGGTATGTTTTGATGCTGTAATTTTGATTGTTTACACAGACAGATCTGGTGGGTTTTGATGCTGTAATTTTGATTGGTTACACAGACCTGATGGGTTTTGATGCTATAATTTTGATTGGTTACACAGACCTGGTATGTTTTGATATTATAATTTTGATTGGTTACATAGACCTGATGGGTTGTGATGCTATAATTTTGATTGGTTACACAGACCTGATGGGTTTTGATGCTATAATTTTGATTGGTGACACAGACCTGGTATGTTTTGATGCTACAATTTTGATTGGTTACACAGAACTGGTTGGTTTTGATGCTATAATTTTGATAGGTTACACAGACCTGGTAGGTTTTGATGATGGCCTGGCAATCTCTCCTGATCTGCTCCGTTTCATCTTTAGCATCCTTCAGCTTGGATCTGGTCTTCAACAGCTCTTCCTTGGTTTCCTTCAAGTAAAATTTAGCATCATAACATTTTTACATATACATGAAGATTGTTCAACATGAATAACAACAGGTACTTACTATTTATCTTATAAATTATCAAAAGATACAAAATTTAGAACTGGATTTAAAACAATGGTGGTTCTATTATCAGTGACACACATTATTTAACAACTTGAATATAAATTTGGATTAACCATCTAGGTTTCATCATTATTAACAGAGCACATAAAAAAACCCAATAATTAACCATCACCTCTTAATAATTAAAAAAAATTCTTCAAATTTATCAAATCCTTTTTAGAAAAAAATTAAATTAAAGTATAGAACAAATAGAAAACATTAAATCAGTTTCATGCAAATAATATCTATGACCTTCAATTTCAACAATGCACAAGGAAATAACATTTGAATTTTTGGAAAAAAAAGGTCATTTAAAAGGAAATCATTTTATCTGCTGATTGAACTACTTATATTTTTCACAAACAAACACAGCTGTCACTACTTGATGCATTTTAAGCAGGATGTACATTAAACATCCTCCCTTCAGACCTCAACAGCTGTGGTCCACAGTGATAATATACTAGACATGAACATGCATTGTACATGAATTCATCACAATGCTGCTTGAAGACAAGGGCTGCACAACTGAAACATGACTCCCCAACACAAAAAATCTAAGTTTTAAATTTCAGGTAGAGATATAACTCAGCCAACTGTTTGAAAGAATACAATACTAGCGCTTATACATGTAACTGAATGTAATTTATACCTCTGGTAGGAAGAAATTTTCTAAAGTATTTTATTAAAAAAGAAAAAAAAAAGATCAGGAAATAAATGCAGACACAGTGCAATAATTACTTACAAAAGATGACCAATGGCTACATGTACATGTATTAAGTGTAACTGTACGATATACCATGCCCATATCAATTCAAACACTCATTTTCCTCATGAATGTTATTTATAGGAATGGATTCTTAAGTTTAATAATAATCTAACACAAATTTTCCAATGACCAATTATTTCATAGAATTATTCATTCAATATTGTTTAGGACAAAGCCATCCAAATAGTAACAACCATTCTAATATTGTGCACTGCTTCTTGTATCTTCAATTTTGTTTTACATTTGAAATTTCAGGACAGGTTGAATTTTTTAAACAGGATGTGATGGTAAGTAAATGATCATTACCTTGTGAGCATCGAGCTCAGCTCGTAACTTGTTTTGTGCCCACTTTATCCTCACTTCAGATGACGAAATCAACTCATTTTGTTTCTCCACCTCTTTTGTTAAGCCCTGTACTTCAGCAGCCTAAAAAAAAAATAAAAGAAAGAAAAAACCAAATGAACCTGAATTAAAAATAATGACCTGTAGTAGCTTCTATTACTCATAAGTTAAATTTTCTTTATATTAATCCTACTTAAAAAATAATTTTTGTTTAAAAGATATTGCATCTATTATATAATATTTAATCAAATAAATTGTTTGCATATCCAACTCAGTACAAACTAAAATGCTTAAAAAATTTTTTTTTCGTTTTATGCATGAATGATTATTATTGATCATTTAAAAAACTTTATTTACTTTTGCCTCCAGATCAGTCATTAATCGATGCTTCTCTCCCTTGATATCCTTGACCCTTTGGGTTAACCCATCCTTTTCCTTAGTAAGGTCACGAACTTTGAACTCTAACCTTTCTATGGCCTTTTGACCTTCTATGAACTTTTTTTCAGCCATGGCATATTTTACCACCATTGTGTCTTTTTCCTTGTTGGCTTCTTCATACATTTTGGTCACCTGAAATGTGAAAAGTAAATAAATGTATTTTTGACTTATTCATAAATACATGTACATGTTACATATTAAACAGATGGACAGAATGTCACAAATTCATCTATATATATTTTTTTTAATGTATGAAATACATGTAAGTTGCATTTTTGTTCAGTACTTTGACATGTACATGAATATTACTGAAATCATTCTATTTTTTTGTTTTATATTGTTAAGGATTGTACATTTATTTTAAAGTTCTTGAACATTTGTGCCATCCTTAGTATCTAATGAAAACAATAAAAAAAAAAACCCACTAGTTTAAATATAAAGATACAATTGCTCTCAGATAAATCAAAACTTGATTTAATGCTATTCATGTTCTTCATTAAATGGCACTACACTAGCTTCATTACCTGTTTAATCATTATTTACATAATTTGACATTTTAGGCATGGATAAGAAAGATAACTGAAGGGTAAACCCATCAATTCTTAATGAAAAGAACAAAATAATTGTGGTTTCAGAAAGGCCACACTATCATATACCACTGGAGCCCATGTACATTGCATTGTATAACTAACTCTCAATAAACATGATAAACACTAAAGGGGAGTGCCGATTTATTTTCTGTTTACCTCATCCACTCTGACTTTTAGTTGTTCTGTAGAGCTGTGTACCTGATCTACTCTGACTGTTAGTTTGTTCTGTAGAGCTGTACCTGATCTACTCTGACTTAAAAGTTTGTTCTGTAGAGCTGTACCTCATCCACTCTAACTTTTAGTTGTTCTGTAGAGCTGTGTACCTGATCTACTCTGACTGTTAGTTTGTTCTGTAGAGCTGTACCTGATCTACTCTGACTTTTAGTTTGTTCTGTAGAGCTGTGTACCTGATTTACTCTGACTTTTTAGCTCACCTGAGCTGAAGGCTCAAGTGAGCTTTTCTGATCAAAATTTGTCCGTTGTCTGTCGTTGTCGGAGGTGTCGTTGTCATTGTTGTCGTAAACTTTTCACATTTTCATGTTCTTCTCCAGAACTACTGGGCCAATTTCAATCAAACTTGGCACAAAGTATCCTTGGGTGAAGGGGATTCAAGTTTGTTCAAATGAAGGGCCACACCCTCCTCCAAGGGGAGATAATTACGAAATAGCAAAAAATTAATGGCATTATTGAAAAATCTTCTTCTCAAGAACCGATGGACCAGGAAAGATGAAACTCACATGGAATTATTGTCAGGTAGTGTTGATTCAAGTTTGTTCAAATCATGACCCCCGGGGGTAGGGTGGGGCCACAATGGACGATCAAAGTTTTACATAGGAATATATAGCAAAAACCTTTAAAAATCTTCTTCTCAAAAACCTTTAAAAATCTTCTTCTCAAAAAACAGCAAAGCAATGATTGATTATATTTATTTGGAAGCATCCTCAGGTGGTTCGGGTTCAAGTTTGTTCAAATTATGACCCCCGGGGGTAGGGGGGGGCCCACAATGGACGATTAAAGTTTAACGTAGGAGTATATAGGAAAAATCTTCAAAAATCTTCTTCTCATGATCAGCAAAGCCATGATTGGTCAAATTTATATGGAAGCATCTGCAGGTGGTGTAGATTCAAATTTGTTCAAATCATGACCCCCGGGGGTAGGGTGGGGCCACAATAAACGATCAAAGTTTTCATAGAGTACATAGGAAAAATCTTCAAAAATTATCTCAAGAACAGCAAAGCAATGATTGGTAATATTTATATGGAAGCATCCTCAGGTGGTGTAGATTCAAGTTTGTTCAAATCATGACCCCCGGGGGTAGGGTGGGGCTACAATGAACGATCAAAGTTTTACATAGGAATACATAGTAAAAATCTTTAAAAATCTTCTCAAGAACAGCAAAGCCACGGTTTGTCATATTGATATGGAAGCATCCTCAGATAGTGTAGATTCAAGTTTGTTCAAATAATGACCTCCAGGGATAGGGTGGGGCCACAATGAAAGTTCAAACTTGTAGAGAAAAAAAGTCACAATTAGTCAAAAAATTACGTAAGCATCCTTAGTGTAGATTTAATTTTGTTCAAATCATAACCCCCCCCCCCCACTCCCTTTTAGGGGTAGGTTGGGACCACTTATGCATTTAAGCTTTACAATACTAAACTGATTTTTCCTTTTTTCCTAGCCACAGTGCTCAGGTGAGCGATGTGGCCCCTGGGCCTCTTGTAATTTGTTCTGTAGAGCTGTGTACCTGATCTACTCTTACTTTTAGTTTGTTCTGTAGAGCTGTGTACCTGATCCACTCTTACTTTTAGTTTGTTCTGTAGAGCTGTGTACCTGATCTACTCTGACTTTTAGTTTGTTATGTAGAGCAGTGTACCTGATCTACTCTGACTTTTAGTTTGTTCTGTAGACCTGTGTACCTGATCTACTCTGACTTTTAGTTTGTTCTGTAGAGCTGTGTACCTAATCTACTCTAACTTTTAGTTTGTTCTGTAGAACTGTGTACCTGATATACTCTGATTTTTAATTTGTTCTGTAGAGTTGGGTACCTGATCTACTCTGACTTTTAGTTTGTTCTGTAGAGCTGTGTACCTGATCTTCTCCGACTTTTAGTTTATTCTGCTGTGCACCTGATCCACTCTGACTTTTAGCTAATTCTGTAGGGCTTTACCTGATCAACTCTGACTTTTAGCTCATTCTGTAGGGCAGCCACTGTTCTCTTGGCCGCAGCATCATGACTAGTGAGCTTGTCCTTTACTGTCCTGATTTCATTGGTCTGTTGTGCGATTGTATACTCCAGCTAAAACCAAAAGAAAAATTACTTTAAGGAATTTGTGATACCGGAATGCAATTTTAGAACCAGAATAAAATAACACTAATTTTTCAAAACCTTGGTTTTTTTTCATTAATTTTTTGCAAAATATCACTATGAGACATTTCTAGCTTTAATTAAGTTCTTTATACACATATATGCATGCACATAGTAAGATAAATTCTCCCACTATCATAACAATATATGAATATATTCTGTAAATAAAAATCATTCATTACAACATAAATTATGCTCTCAAAACTTGATGTTAAATGCTTTAAGGTTAAAATTGTCTACAAAATATGAGGATGATGAAGTGTATTCCAATCACCCTGCAAATGTTCATTACTACAAATTTTAGAGTGGGGCTTTAATACATGTATGTGTTTGATGGAATTTTCAGGAAATACGTACGATATCAACTTTATAAACTTGAATCTGAAGACCCATTTTTTCAAGAAACTGTACATAATTCCCAGTAAACTTCTACCGACTTATTACCTCTTTGATTAGGGGAAGATACAGGTCTTCACTCTTATTGAGATTTCAGATATTACCTCTTTGACTTGGAAGATACAGGTCATATTGAGATTTGAGATATTACCTCTTTGGTTTGGAAGATACAGGTCATATTGAGATTTCATATATTACCTCTTTGGTTTGGGGGAGATACAGGTCTTATTGAGATTTCAGATATAAACTCTTTGATTTTGGGGGGGGGGGGGATACAAGTCTTACTGAGATTTCAGATTTTACCTCTTTGATTTGGGGCAGATACAGGTCATCTTGAGATTTCAGGTGTCGGATTTCCTTGAGATATGAGTCCCGCTCCTTAAGGATCCGCTCCACATAAGTCTCCTGTTCCTCTCCCCTGATTGTCAGTCTAAAAATAGACACAATTAAGTAAAAATCCACAACATTAAACTACACAGGAAACCACTGTTTTACACTTGTAAAACTTCATATAACTGACAATGTGTTGACTTGTTCCAAGCACAAGATGACAGCTACATCACAAGAATTAATGTTATATATCTCTCATCCTGATAACGATTGTGTAAATAAAGATAAAATGTTATTCATCTAGTAATCAGCTAGCTAGTTTCTAGTCATGTTTAACATCATTAACAAATGTTGTGGCAGCAATGAGGCTAAAAGATTTTCAAATAACAGAAGAATTTATACCTATATGTCATGTTTTCACTGGTTTGCTAGATTGCAAACCAAAATTTCCCTTGATTAAAGATGTCAGATGTGTCTGTGTTTACAATTTTGATTTGTATTTAGCTCTGTTTTCAGTGACTTAAATTTTGATCATTGTGATCTTGTATAATGTAAATCCAGATGAAATATTTTTTAAGTTAATCTTGGCCAATCCTTTGACCTTTAGATTAGTTATATATTGTAAAAACAACTACCTCTATTAAAGATTACATAACTTTTTAAATCAGTTTTTAATTAAGATTTAAAAATTATGTCAAACACCATGTTCAAGAGTTATAATTATCTCTGATGAAAGCTGATTCTTACTGATCATCATCAGCTTCTTACTTCATACATAAATCAATCAAAACATTTCACTGAGTTATCTTTGGCTTTGACATTTCACCTTGACATTTGACCTTGAAGTTGAATTTAAAAAGGAAAAGAACTCTGTTGAAAAGACTTATTCTGATCACTAATTCCAATTCAATTCAATCATAGAAAATAACTCCTTAAAATATTTGAAGGTTCTTGTACTAATACTCACAATGACCTAGAACTTAAACTTTGAATTATAAATTTTGAAATGACATCCATTAACCTAGAAGTTTTGGGTAGCCTATCATAACTGTAATCTGCAATGTTTATATACTTAAATTACAGTGCAGTACTCTGAATACCAAGTTTGTTGTATGTTGACTTTGACCTTTACCTTTGAATTTGTTTATGATTTATAGGTTCATTCTTGTCGCAATACTTTAATTAACCAAAACAATCAACATCATTTTGTCTCTTTGTATATCACAATCCTACCATACCTTACAAATGAATGTGATTTTGTTTTACTTTCAACTCCTATTGATTTTAGAAAAGCCCTGGTACAAGTATAAACATATTTTTTGAAGTCAATTTTATCACTGTTGTCTGAGATTGTGTGTGACATATACATACTGTATGTTTATATTGGAAATTAATGCAAACAAGTACAAATACTTGTCTACTTGAATTTATCACTTATTGGTAGTCTATTTCTTCAAATTAGTCATGCTTAATCTTGATTTTTCTTGATAAGCCACTGACAACTTTTTGTAAAGGACATCTTTCAATGACTTTGGCCTTATATATATTAATACTTAAAATTTTTTGACATTTATTAAATCAATATCATAGACCAATCTTTTTATCTTTACAGCATAAGGTAAATTTATCACATTTTATTTTTAAGGACCCTCAGTCTGCATGAGTCGTTTTGAGAAAATGTCTGACTCGTGGAAGTTAATTACTACAGTAGCACTGTGGTAATCCAAATGTCAATAATTGGCTCACTTAACTATTCAGATGATATTTTGGGGAACTGAACTTAAGCACGTAGTTTGACTCAACATTTCAGAAATCTGCATTCTGTGACCATCCTGAATGTCAAAATTATTAAAATAGCTATTATACCTTGGTCCAAAGAAAGCGATGCCTTGAATTTACTTACTAAATAGGTGAATAATTAAGTGTGTTTTAACCTTCATAATTAAGGAAATATAAATAATTTATTATTAAATGAAGCTGTAAGAAAGTTTATTGCACTTCATTTCTTTCTCAAACTGTGCACTGTACATGCATATAAAAAAAAGCATAATTCACATGCAATTAAAAGCATGATGTTCAGGAGTTCTGCCCCTTGATCATTCATTGATGTAAATCTCAAGGGAGAGTTGAATTGCTTCTCTCATTAGTCATGATTTATTTTCGTGTTAGATTTTTTACCAAATAAACATGATAAATAATCTGTATATATTACAAGTCAAAAAAGAGCTCCTTTTCAACATGTTCAATGTGTAATGGTTTGGGTTGTGGCCTATCGGATATCATGGATATCGGCCTGGGTAGCTCAGTATAGATAGAACCTGACTAGTGATGCAGGTGTCCCGGGTTCGATTTGCGGTTCAGCCATATATTTTCTCCTTTCTTGTTACATATTTTCCTCTGGACTTGCAGGTTAAAGTCCTGCCAGAGAAAAAGAGAACTTGAGTTGTGTCTTTGAGGGCAAACTAAGACAATTTAAGGAGGGAGGAATGCAATCGTTTGGGCTGTATATTTCGGTCTGGGTGGATCAGTTGGTAGAGCACTTGACTAGTGATGCAAGGGTCCCAGGTTCAATTTCCAGTCCAGCCATACATTTCCCTTTTACAAATGCAAATTTAGTCTTAAGTTTATCTTAAACTCAGTCAACTCTTCAGTCAAAATATGAACAGTACATGTATCATCACGTACTATTACTTTAACACTAAACATAATTCTATTGGAAAATTTTTCTACAACATGACTGAAATGTTTATCTTTTATGATATATATGGAATTTTTATCTTCAGTATTAACCATATCTCTAAAATGAGAAGACAGCTAGGGCATTGTAATCCTAACTGTTCAATTCAAACTTATCTACATTAATTCTATTTATATCAGTCATTTCTAAGCATGTTAAATGCTTATTATTATGCATCCAGTATTAAACACTTAAGCCTTTTAAATCAACCTTGAATATTTAATGTGAAAAGTTTTTCAAGGTACTATGTGTCATGGTATGCTGTATTTATTGTATCTTTCTACCTGTTGAATGAATATGTGAATAACTAATAGATAAAACTCATTAATTCTTACATATCAGTAGATCTACATGTGTTATGTGTGTTTAGTACACAGCTTTGTATGATACAATTAAACTGCACCTACATGTATTTGTATACCTCAAAACATCAACCTTTTTATTTATCAGGTGTACTGTTGATATGGCTGAGACTGAGATACAAATATTTGTTCGTACTATAACAGGGTCATATTTTACTTAAATTGTACATGTACTGGTACAGATTCACATGTATGACTCATACATTGTACACATTTTAATACTACATGTCAACATCACCTACCTTTTAATTTCAGCATCTTTTTCCTCTAGTTTGTCTATGGAATGCTTCAGTTGCATCTGTAAATCTTGGATTTCCTGCTTAACTTTATGATCAATTCTCCCACACATTCCATTGGGCAATTTAAAATTGACCTCAGCATCAGGTCCATTTCGACTGTTTTGATTGGTTCTTGGACCTTTGGTCAGTTCAGATTCTAGTTCTGACAAGAGGTCATCGTCAGATTCATAAGATGAGATTTTATTTCCACTTTCGATATGATTTGTAATGTTCCCATTCACATTTACATAGCTCAGACCAGCACCATCAGTTTTATTGCTTTCTGTTGAACACGACGTGGTTTTTGTACCATACTGACTAGATGTCACATGATCTGTTCTAAGATCTTTATCACTTAAAGCTGGATTCTGACTTGGAGGATTGACCACAACACAAATAGTTTTCTCCTGTTGATTTTCTCCCCCTCCCTGTTCACAAGTTTCATTCATGTCAGAACTACTTGCTTGTTCAGGTTCATGACTTGGTGATATGTCTGCCTCTTGATCACACTCTGGTTCATAAGATTCAATGCTCTCAGTCGGAGAGAGAACATGTAACTGCGGCCGTGCTTCAGACGTCCAGTTTTGACAGCTAATCTCATCCTCCGGAATGACAGCATTTCTATCCACAACCTCTGAATTTTCAGGACTGAGATTCTCTACTAAATTGTTTATTCCACACTGTACAAGGTTTGATTCTGGGTTTGAACCATCCCTACCTAAATTTATCACAGAATTGCTTCCTTCAGTGTTATTTTCTAATTCTCTCTCATCATTTTCTCTCTGTTCACTTTGTTCCAATTCATTTATCTGTATACTTTCATTTTCATTTATCTGTATACTTTCATTTTCATTTGGAGTTGTTCCACACTTGATATGATTCACATTTTCACTTTCACTCTTACTGACATCTCTAACCAGTGAGGCATCTGCTTCTGCCTCCTCTTGTCCTATCCCCTGAATCAGCTGTTCGTCCCTCCCACAACTGATCTGCCCCTCCCGTATCACCCCACCATCTGCCTCTCTTTCATCTTCAGTCTTCTCATCCCCTTCCACATTCAGAGAACATTCATCTTGTCTTTGTCTATCCTCTTGTGCATTGTTTTCCTCAACATTTTCATTTATCACAATTTCTGGATGAGAGCCATTCTCTTGTAGGAAGTGTTCATTGCTGACCAGTGCATTAATTTCTCCTTCTACCCCATCATCTGGATGACTGTCCAGCAGCTCACTCTCATTCACAGCTGCACTTTCAGATTCTGGATCTGGATTTTCTGTGACATTGGCTTCCTCATCTGGATCTATACCAGACATTGCCTATCTCAAAGGACCTGAATCAGAATTCAATATGTGTATTTGTCATCATGAAATTTGCTGAATACTTAATTATCAATATCATTATTGGTTAAGGACCTTTGTTTATATTAAGTTAAATGAAAAGTATCACTGTTGCCATTCATAATCATGCAATCTAAATGTCTAAATACTTTAATGCATCTACTGAATTTCAATTTCCACATTAAAAATGAGAATTACATAATTTGTCATTTCTTTCAACTTTTATCTGGTCAATATGAGGCTAAAACAAATCAAACAAAAGCGCCCACACCTTCCCCAAATTATTTCTTATGTAAAACAATATGAATATAGAAATGTTGACGATATTCAGTGTTCTACAAAGGTCCTGATTTTAACAAAGCCAACTTCAGGAGAAAAAGGGATCAATGATTCAATATAAGGTAAGTCACAAAAATATCTGATTTTCCCTTCTCCCTTTTTTCTTTTCTTAAAACAAACTGGTCATGGGTTGTTGAAAATCAATAAAGTGGGTATTCATCGATTTGCTTTACACTCAAGAAAACATTCTCTCTTTGCATGAAAAGTAACATAATAATTTGTGCTTCCTTAGCTCTGTTCTGTAGATTAACGAATGGATACCTTTGTCTACAGGTTTATGACAGACACAACTCTATTTGTCAACATCACTAACAAGGCTTTTCCTGATGACATTCGGAACTCCTGCCAACAAAACAAAATGGAGTAGGTCACATGACCAACAGAAACTCGGAATATAGTCACGATTGTGTAAATAAATCTGTTTGGGCAGAGAAATTATTATGTGTATAAGTTAGAAAGAATAATAGCATTATTCACGATGGAGTATAAATTTCAATGGCGATTTTAAAATCGAAAGTTACAAGTTTTGATCTATATCTTTCTAGCGTTTGAAGCGTCTGAAGAACACCGATTGTCTACATGTGGTGGAGGCTGAGGATGAGTTAGGGGGAAAATAAATTTATAAATTGGTTGTATAGGTAAGACAAAGCTTTAAATTGGGTCAGAAAGTATGAGAGATACTTTCAATTTTACTTTAGAGAACGTAGAGGTCAACATTTCGCAGAATAATGTTAACTTCAGGGGGAGTGAAGTTTGGCGGGAAATACATGCACATGTTGGGATCCCTGCCTACAGAGTACTTTGTACTTTATATACACTACTTTGCAGTGTAATTTTACATCCATCTGGGCTCTTAATAATGGGAAGATATGCCTAAATAATGATTCAATTGGATACTGCATATGCTTGCTTCTGGGAATTATGTAGAGCAAACTTGTTTAACTTTGAGAAGTAGGTCAAACTGATTTACTTGCATCAGTTACTTAAAGAATGTGATCTCGTAAAACCATGGCATTGCTAGCAACTTCTTTTTTTCACTTGTAAAATGGTTAACAGAAGTAGAACCAGAATTCCAGGATGGATACCTGTAAACTGTGAAACGAAATCAAAATGAAACCAAATGAATCCAATTGAAATGACAGTCTTCGACAAATCCCAGGAGTCTGATGCCTGGGACCTAGTAAAGTTGGAAGCGGGCATGTGGAAATCATTAACTTGCAAGCCTGAAGGGCATGTAAAATTGGAGGCTTAATCATAAAGATTATTTATAACGATATGCTTTCACTTTTGATTTGAGTTATCAATTTATTCATAAGACATATCATTTTCATTCATGAAGTACATATAAAATTAAATAATATCAATATCATTAAATGTACTTAAGGCCAGCATTTTTTTTTTTAGGTTTACAAACCTGTCGCTTGAGTTTTTTAATTTTCAGAAAAAAAATAAAATTGAAAAAAACAGAATTTTTTTTCTTTTCAAATGTCGAATTTGAGTCAGGATCAAGATTTCAAATTTACGAACTCGTACTTCCGGTTTAAGATAAACATGGCAGGTAAATAAAGGTAGACCTGCATAGTCCATATCATCATCATAGCTTGGTTTAGTGTAAAATTTTTTGATAGGAGTGCAATTCAAAACGTTTCACTCGTTCAGAGGAAAATAAAATGCTGACGACTTTGTTGCACAATAACATGTTGGTGAGATAACTCTGTATCCGTATTCAAAAGTAAGTGCATGTAAATTAATTTCCTCCCACTGGTTAAAAACTGCCCATGGTAGCTATAGCCAGAGACATTGTTTAGGTCTCTGTTATAGCCTACAATCTAAGCAACATTCTGTAGAAAAGATCGCTTATGCATCAGATGTATTGAATAAAACTATTGGTGAAGTGAAGTCCAATAAACAATAGCCTAAAAAAATGAAATATTTAAATTATTGAAGAAAAAAGTATATACCAATATAAACAGGCATGTATTGTTTTTGAATGTGGCAGCCAGAAAAATTATTTTACACTAAATTGAAGAAATTTTGACCCCCTCCCCAATACTCCGTCTGTTATACGATAGGAATATTTACTTAAGGTCTCAAGTATATTTTTTAAAACAATTTCTACACATTCATGTAACACATATTTAAAAAAAAAATGAAGATATACATATATTAAAAGACTTTTAAAAGATTTTTTTTTTTTTAAATTTGTATTTTGAACAACATCTCGAAATTTATATCACTGCATGGCCCCAACTGGCAGACAATGAAATAAACAATTTAAGGTTCTACCTTCCTATTTGTAACCATTGTGTGACCAGTGGCAAGGAGCTTGTTAGGAGAGTATAAAAAAAGAGGCAAAAATAAATGTACAAAAGCTGATAATTTATACCAAAAAATTATTATTTTTTTTATTTCTTCCTCCTAAGGGATTTTTTCATTCTGGTGTTCGTAAACCTAAAAAAATGCTGGCCTAAAAGTGTTTTGATTTACCCATCTAAAATGAAGCACAAAATAAAATTTTAACGACAGGATTTTCTACGGCGATTTCCAAGAAACTTTCGCATTGGAGATACAAAAAGTGTACAGGTTTAAAACAAATAATGGTGAAGCGTGACAATAGATGCTCTCAGGAAAAAATGGATTTCGGATCATTTCCTTGGGAGAAAAAGGCAAAAAAAAAAGGAATTTTTTTTAATTACTTGATTAAATTTTGGGCATGTAAATATTTGTTCAGGCTAGTTTAATTAGTTTAATAAGATTTGGTGAAGACTGAAATGAAAAAACCATACCAGAATCAAAACCAAGCAAAACATACCATACTCTACATTGGTGACAAGTCAACAAATTGCAGACATTATAATTATTTGTCAAAATACTATTAAATTTCGCTTAAAAGGGTTATTCAATCCATACAGTTAAATAAAAATATTTTGAAATTTTGATTATCAAATATTCAAGAACTTTATGGGATGCATGCCTGGTGTGTCCTCCTTTCCTGAATCTACTGTTGGTAAAATGAAATCTATCAAATGTCAGGTCAGTGGTATATTAAATTTTGGGACCAGTTGCCCAAACGGGATATATAGTAGTCTCTTTGGGATATAAAACAAATTGAAATATAGATTTACAGTGCAACTTTCATTCAAGTGCAGTGGACTGTGGATATCAGCTTCAATAGCTCATTGGTTAGAGTACTTGACTAGTAATGCAGGGGCCCTGGGTTCATTTCCCAATCCAGCTGAAACTTTCTCATTTTGATTTACTTTCTTTGTTGTTGGGAATCACTGGACTAGCAGGTAGTGATGGGAATTGGTAAGAATTTCATGATCGATGATAGGGCTACTGTATATAACTAATATTATCAGTTATAATTGGACATTTACAAAGTCTGTTCTATCTAGTCCAGCTGGTTTTTCGTTCATTTTGTAGAATCCTACGTATGTCCATACCCGGAAATGAGCATTGTTACCCGGGTATGAATACAATGTCTGTTCGTCTGCGCCATTATGATACACAAATAAGTTAGTAAACAAGTCGCGGCTGGAATATTTGGCTTAAAAACTATTATGCTTGTAAAATAAATCAAATAACACGATTAATTGGAATAGAAATTTTGTAATCGAGCGCTTGGATTATGCCAACAATCGACTGATTTTTTATTATAATCAATGATTGGAACACCACTACTCGCAGGTAAAAGTTCTGCAAGGTTCAAAACAATTTGGGCTGTGAGTCTTCAAGAATGAAGATAATTTAAAGAGGGAGGAATGTAGTGGTTTGGGATGCATGATCTACATTTGATATTGGCCTGGATATCTCAGTGATTGGAGCACCTGACTAGAAATGCAGGGATCAGAGGATCCATTCCTTGTCAAGCAAAAAATTCTCTCCTTCAAAATTCCTGTTGCATTGCTAACAATTGAGTGATCAGGTGTTTGACATGATTTACATATTTGAGTGCAGACATTATTATATGATTGTTGTATTTGACACTTAAGAAAGAAATCATTCTAGTCAATATTAGTTGTAATTCAGTTCAGCGATTAGTTTAGATTTAATTGTTTGATCTTAACTATTCTCAAATTTCAAATGTAAAAAATTGTTTGGGATTTTGAAAAGTAGTAGTTAATTGTATGAAATCTCACAGATAAAAACTTAGAAAATGTCTTTCTTTATATATATAAAAAAAAAAACTTTCCTGTTTTTCAGATAATGGCGTCAAATGGGTATGTATCATGGTAAACCTTAATGACTTTTACACCTCACAGTTAATGAAATCCCTATAAGTATAATTGATTTCCAAGACTAAAGACCCCATCTAAGATTTTTTTTCCTCATGTTCAACAGTACAACTTGTCCAACCAGGATGTGTCAGTGTCTTTCAAAATCTTAAAGTAAATTTTTAGTTCCTTTTAGGAAATTCAATATCTTTTTTAATCTGACACAAGTGGTGTCTGGGTTAGATTTTGAAGTTTTACTCTACATTGATTCAAATAAAGGGCACAATAAGCATTTTTAACACCTAGGGTAATAAAATTATTGTATTGGCCCAGGAAAAGTATTAAAGTTACTTTCACTGAAATTTTAAGTTGAACAGAGTGCAGAACATTATATTTTGAAGTTAATCCTGCAGGTATAATGTATGATGAAGGAATTCAGTTTAGAAGTTGCTTTACCTATTATGGCAATAAATTTGACAGAAATTAAATACATAGTTGTAGACACAACGTCTTGTAACAATATTAGGTAACAAAGATTTAGATAAAATTTATAATGCCGTGGTTTATCATTGATGTAATATGGGTTTACTGGTACCTGTGAATTAACTATTACAGAGATTTAGATAGCTGGAACCCTATGAAGGATGACCATCTGAACGAAGAGTTTAATAAATATGACAGAGGACATGGTAAAGACATGCCAAAGAGAGGCCCAGATCGCTATGGGTAAGTAGAAAAAGAGGAATTTATATACTGTTGAACTTCAGTATCTGGAACTTTGATATCTGGAATATTGATGATTGTCGGAGTGAGATTGGAGTCTCTATCACTTTTATATTTTAATCTTGATATTTGTCAACTCTTTGATATCCTGACGTTTTTGCTCAGTCCAACTGAGTTTAAGATAATGACCTTTGACTATGTCAGTATAAAGTAGATTAACATTAAGTGAATTTAAGCTATAAGTTGCAATTAAGATTTTGATAATATCCATAGCTTGTGGTGGTGGTGGTGGGGGGGGGGGGGGGGGGGGGTAGGCAGGGAGAGACTTTGTTTCAATTAATTTTTGTGTCTATTTTAGTGGTGTTTGGCTTTAATTCACTGCCCCCCCCCCCCCCCAAAGCTATGTTTAATTTTGGTGTCTTTATTTTAGTGGTGTGTCCCTTTATGTCACTGGAATTCCAGATGAAATGACGGAAGTAAGTACAAGACGTAAAGTATGTAACCTTTACGCTCCCAACCTGGTGTTTTTCTGAAATTGTAACCTTTACCTTTAAACGAAATGGTAATTTATTAGTGCACACAAATGGTGTTAATTAAGGGTAGCAATGCTAAAAGAAGTAAATCTGTATAGAGTTCTGTGCAGAATTTTGTACAGAAATGAAATAACTGTTGAAAACAATTAATTTGCAGGAAGGGCTGGTAAATTTGTTTAGTAAGGCTGGCACATGTGTGGAGGCTAAGAAAATGAAGTCCAAAATGGAGGGGACTGGGAATACGTATGGGTAAGTTATAGAGTAGTGGGATGAGAACTTGAAAAAAAAAAATGAGGGTCTATTTGATGGTAATTAACCCCCCTCCCCCAAGTTCATTGGAGGGGGTTGTTGTATAAGGTTTAATTTGGCACATAACTTACATTTGTTTGGTAACATTTCCATTATGAGAAAAAATTCTTATTGGAATGTAAAATTCATGAATAAAATTTGACTTGTTTCAGTTTCAGCCATTAGTTTTTAGTTTTTCAGATTTACAGTTCTAAGCAATATTAACTGAGGTCAACTGATAGAAATAAAAATAAAGATTTTAAAAAAAAATGGCTTAAGCTGTATCTTGACTATTTCCAAGGTGCTTGCTTGCTTGCTTGTATTTGTGTTGGAGATAGTATCTTTGAATTGGTTATGATGATTTGGTTTCAGGTTTGTCAAGATGGCGACAGTCAATGAGTGTGAGAAAGCCATTCGCAAATATCATGAATTTCCCATCGGAGACTGCAAGTTACGAGTGAAGTTCTCTAAAACAGACGAGGATCGAAATCGACAACAAAAGCAGAAACAGGTAGAAATCGCATCAGAAATATTTAGATGGTGCTATGTATTTTTATTAAGTGCATCAAATATTTTAAGCTTGTCATTAAAATGTTTTTATGGAAATTTTTTTTCAGATATTAGAGACTAGATAATTCCATAATTTCTCTTGATGTTCATAAATATTTTTTTCCAATCCTTGTTGCTCCATTTGTCAAACTTCATTGTTTCATTTGGAACTTGAAAAAACTTTGAAAACTATCATGTAAGTTTGTAAACTGAAAACTTTTAACATGGTAACTATCTCATTTAAATATAAATAAGGTTATTTTTGCACTTGCAAATGATTTTGCTAGATTTTGCCCTATTTTCAATTCAACCACATGCGACAAGGGCAAAAGGGTTGTAAATAGAATGGAAGCAAAATTTTTCTGCGGGTGTACTTCAGGATCTACAGGAAAACTCAATTGTAAAGAACTCAGTTATAAGGAAATCTTGGTTAGATGGAATATTTTATCAGTCCCCCATGGTGACTTTCCATTAGGTGTGTCTTATGCGGATATTAGAATCTGTAGTTTAGTAGATTAAATTCAATGTTATTTGTGAGGAATCCACTGGAATTTCAATACCAGTTTAGAGCATATTTACCAAGACATCTCTGTTTACACAATGTTTAAATCTAATGAATTTGATTACTAGGAGGAAGAAGAGTTCCTGAGTTCTTTGAGCAGCAACAGGAAGTCTTATTCACGCAGTAAAGCCAGCTCGGGATCGGAGTCAGATGGCAGCGCTCATTTCATGAGCAGGGTGAGTTAATCAATCTCACTTTGAACACAGCTGAGGCTGGCATCGATGATCCCCAGTAAATTTTCAAATTTAATTATCAGCCATATACTTCTACCTGTGCTTGCTGGACATTTGCAAGGAAGCTTTTGTAAAAATTATTTCACAAATATATGTAGAAATATGTCTTATACTGACCTCAGGGTTAGAATGGCGCCACAGAAGTTTCAAACTTACATGGAATACATGGGTAAAAAAAAAACATTTAAAAAAATATATATATTTTGTTTTTGCTGAAAACTAGTGCCTAAAAAGTTTTCTAGGAGTTGGGCCAAAATGGCTTTTAGTTATTTTTAACATTTAGGTCCTCTGTTCTATGAAATTCCAATCTAAATCACTGAAACAGATCTTGATTAATTTTTATCCAATGAACTGAATGCATTTAATTTCAGTTTGTGTTGTAAATGTAAATGTTTATCATACAATTAGAAAGTAGAGTGTCACAAGGTTATAGGCATGTGATGTATATTTTAACTATCAAAGCCCTACCTCTCAAAATTCAAAAGATATAAGTTTAAGTAAGGGTTCTGGATATTCTTGAAAAATAGGTCAGAGGTCGAAGGCAAGTGGACTGTAATGCTAGTATTTTTCAAAATTCCTATGACAAGCAGTGTTTGTGCTAATTGGCTCATATTTACCTCATACGGTTCAAAGAATATAGTGTAGGTGTTAGATACAGTGAAAACTGTCAAATCTGACACCTGTGCAATCTGTTTCACTGTGAATTCCAACCTCTATTTCCATTCCCATTTCACTATCTCACCTGCCTGTTCTTTATACTGTATAATCTGACACAGTCTATTTAGACAGAAAATTTGTCTCCCAAAGCCAATTAATTTAGACAGGTTTACTGTATTTTTAAAAAAAGGGCAAAAGTCAAGGTCATGAGATCAGTATCCTGGGTATATTACAAAAGCTATTGCGCCAAGCCATATTTGAGCAAAATGTTAAATTCCTATCTGTTATAGTTCTCAAGACAAAGTTTGACGGATGACAAAGTGGTCCCAAAGTGACGCTCTGCTTTGCTGGTGACAAAAAAATTAGGTCATATTAAGGGCCATTGTTTTACATTGAAATTAATTAACATGTAAGAGATGAGAAAATCTTCAGAACAGCAAGGCCACATTCATATTGATTTGCAAACAGCTTTGGGTAGTGTAGCTTCAAGTTTGTTAAAATCATGGTCCCTAGGGGTAGGGTGAGGCCACAATAGGTGATCAAGATTTCAAAAATACAGCAAAGGAGTGACTCAGGCAAGAGTTGTGGCCTATGGGCCTCTTGTTACTGTTCTGACTCGTAAAATTGCTGAGTCAGTTGCAGTGCATTGGGTTAAACACATCTTTGCATTGTTTTGTATATGATCTATATATAGCACAAGGTCAGACCGGCCATAGTTCTTATTCTATGAGCAGGGTAAGTTGTACACTGCATGAAAGCTTGAACTGTTAGAATTGTCTATATTGTACTGTATATTTAAGGATTGAGGTGTTACATGTAAATTGTTGTACATGTCATATAACATGTGATCTTGACCAGATAAATAATACTGACCTTGGCCAAACCATCATTTTAGACAGATCTCTGTTAATGCAATGTTGTTGTTGCCTCTGAGTTTTCAGGCTTTCATTCTGACATCTCATTTCATCATGTTACTGACTTTCAGCCCTTTATTGAGATTCATAGCTATTAATTTTTTTTTCTCATTCAGTATTTCCTCATTATTGTGACTGTCTAATAAGTGATTCCAACTTTGAAAAGTATTTTAATTTCTATATCATATAAAATGAAGTCCATGTCCTTTATGTTTTAAGAATGTATATTAAATAAACACTTAAGTCTGTATATGTAGTTACATATTATAAAGGACCTGTATTATTTATTTATGCAAATTAGTTTGGCGTCTTCAGTTTTTATTTAAAGAAAATCTGGTCTGTACATTGCTGCTGTCCATCAGTAAATAGACAATTTTGTTGAGATGTTAGATTTACATATAGCTGTGTGGTTTTTTTTATCCCCCCCCCCATAAAATGTTCTTTTGAGGGTCATCTACTGTAAATCCACTCGTGAAACAAGAAAATTTTTCAGTATCACCTTAAGACATATGTTTTTAAGAATATCCCATCCCTCCTCTATTGTCATTAATATAAACTTAAAACTTGGTCATCATTCATTTTTTCTACCATTTTACTTGCAGTCAGGGGAGAAAATCATGTTTGGAAAGAACAAAGTAAACGAAAGGTAACTATAATTAAAGATGAATTTTACTACTTTGTCATTTAATCATTATTTTTTTTTTTAAAGAAAAGATGTGGTCTTAGTTTATTTTATGAAGCTAAAAATTATATATGAGAAATAAATGAAATTTTCAATTTATGAAAATCAAACATCAATGATGGAAAGATGTTATTAAACTGAAGAAAGAAAATTATTTTGATGTTAAATCAATGAACATTTACAATGACAACTAGATCATGAATATATATATTGACAAACATTATATTAAGTTACGATAATCAGCATAGTGTATAACTACAAATGCTGAAGGCTTACAGAGAACATTTTATGCATGTATTACAGTATGATATTAATTATCACCCTCTGTACATGCATTTTGTAGCCCACCAACCTTGCAAGAAGCTCCAGTGAAGAAACCAGGTATGTCAGAGGAAATTACAGGTGATTTGGCATGTGCACTGAAAAAAAAAAATTATGCAGTTGCATATTGTTAATTTTCATATCAGGGATTTATCAGCCTATTTTGGGAAACACCACTTTTGGGGAATTGGGAAAAAATTATTGGCTATTTGATGAAATTGGGAAAAATTAAAAATGTTGCTTAAAACGTATTCAGGTGTAATTAATTTTACATGATCTCTAATTTGGGCAATTAAACAGACAATTAAATATGATCCAACTTCATCATACAAGTTCAATTATGAATAAAAGACTAATAAAAGTAAAATTGACTTCAATAAGTATAAAGTATTTATACAACTTAGGGTAGTACATGTGTGTATGAGATTCCAATTTAGGTCATTATAGAATCTGTTTCTGGAGATTATAAACCTCCTGCAAAAAATTATACTAAGTACAAATTTTCTCAAAGTCCTTTTAATATGTATTAATACATTGAAAATATATTTTTCTATCTGAAATAATATCTTCCGTATACTTTCCATTCACTCGTAGATCAATAGAGTAGGTGGAAATAATTTAATAAATCTATATAATTACACAATATCACTATTTTCAGAAAAACGGAGGAAATTCGGATTAAAAGTTGGCGATGTTTTTACAGTGTTTTTAAACATGCGTTATGACTGTAGCTTTCCTAAATGAGTTAAATAGATGAAAATTACAGTCTGACAGTTTTACTCTGTGTTTTTCTAAGGTAATTATATATTAAAGCATTGTCCACCAATTGGGAAAAAATACTGCCAAATTGGGAAAAATTGGACTTATTTTCAATTGGGAATGGGGCCGAATTTCGGCCCCTGAGAAGGTACTGATAAATCCCTGCGTATGTTTACTTTTCTGATGCAGAATAAATGATTAACTATTGGTTGTACACGTGGTTGGTTATAGTGTACAGTAGAACAAACTTATAGCGAAATCCAATGGCGAACAGTGTTGATTTATTATAAGCATAATGCGTTACATCAGATACATTCATAATACGTTTTTTAAAAAAAAAACCTATATATATAGGGACTGAAAATCACTTTGCTATAAGCATGTACATGTATATATGTACTATTTGTTCACTATGACCATGTTTTATTGCATGTACATAAAACAGTTAATTTAATTTCTCCAGCAGCAGGAGATGGGCGGCCGGGATTATTAGGGGATTACCCAGGTATTAATTGCTAATGCTTCACTTTGTTTCTCAGATAAATTATGTTTTTACTTTTCACACCTTGTTTCTGTTTTTATATTTTTTTCTGTCTTACTCTTTAATTTTGCTTCATGGATTTGAATGATGTAATCAAATTCAAATTTCACAATGCATGTACTTTTACCCCTCTGTACATTATTTAAAGATACATGATTTATACACTGTATACATAAAGAATTTTAATAGGATAAAACTATAAAAGATACGTTTTTTTTCTCTGGAAAAGTTGAATACTTCCCAAAATTTATAAACTTCTTTCCCATATAGTAGAGCAGATGTGTTAACATTTTTTGTTAATAATGAGTGAAGTTTTTTTACGAAAAAATTGAAAAGTGTTACGACTTTAACATCAAGAAACATTAGAAGCATACACTTGAGACAAAGGTGGCTGCATTGACTCAAGGTTATGTACTGACCTTGAGCCAGGGTTATTTGAACAAGGTCAAGGTCACTAGTCTTCAAGACTAATTAGACATTCAAGCCTGGGCAATTTGAGGTATAGAGAAAAACAGTAGATTATTCTAGACATGAAAGTTTCTTGTCACCAGAGGGTGGGTAACAACATTAAGGTCATCTGGACAAGGTCACTGAATGTGAAATGTAACAATTCTTGTCTATAACATAATGAAACAACATTAGAAGATCATACATGCCCTAAGGGTTGAATATGATCAGGTCAAGGTAACAGTTCAGGAATGTCAAATTCTGAAGGTTTCTGAAATGTAGGATCCTGAAAGACAAAACTTTGTATTGAAAGAGCATAAGGAGGTCATACTTAGCAAAGATTGCTTGTGACCAAAATGCCATAATTCCAAGCTATGGTAATTACATGGCTTAGAGGTGAAATGTTTTTTGGACAATGCTGTTTTTAGTTTCTGGACTGTTTTTTTTTCTCTAGAGTTCTGTTTTAAGCTATTTGACTGTATGTGGGTTGCACAGTGAGGAATATTCTAAATGAACACTTCTAGTCTCATTTTCATACATTAACTTTCTGATGCAAAAGAAATGAATTGCTATTGGTTTTACACAGAGTTGATTAGAGTGTGTATTGATTGTTTAACTTTACCAGCAGGAGATGGGCGACCTGGAATATTAGGGGAATACCCAGGTATTAATTGCTCACACTTCATCGTTAGCTTTACACCTTCTTCATTAATTAAATTAATGTTTTTACTTATCAGAATCTGTCTCTGTTTTCATAGTTTATTTTTACATTTATGGAGTGTTAACTCGTTTAAAGTTGCTGTTTGGATTAGAATTCAAATATCACCACTCTTATTATGTACAGATACATGTGTATGATAAAAATACATGTAAATACACTCATCTGTAAACAGAAAAAAGTATTTGTATAGATCTATACATTTTTTCTCTGGTAAAGTTCATAAACTGACTAACTTTGTTTACTGATCGTACAGATGTATTTTATAAGTATGGTACGCTTTTTCCTGCATTATTAAAAAAAAACAAGCCAAGTCTTTAATCAGAACATCATGTAGAATAAACTTTTTAAAAAAAGTTACAGATAAAAATTTCTATGTTTGGAAATTGTTAAATTCTTTACTGTAAATTAAGATGCATTAGAAATATTTTAATTTTTAGAAAACTAATGCTGCTATGCTTTTCTTTTGACAGGTGCCTTGAGTCAGGTGTCCCCCATGTCTTGTGCAAGGTCAGATGTCTCCACCCCCATTGATCCCTCTCTTTTTCATTCTCCAGGAAGCAGCCACCTGGACATGAAATTTCAGTCCATGGGGCGGAGGCAGGCCACAAACCCCAGTCAGAATGGTGTCGAGTTCCAATGCAGTGCTCCTCAGGATTTCTACGAGCAAAATCAGCATCCTGGATATGTTGGGGAACCAAACGCAGGCATGCGGATAGTGTCTGATGGAGAATATAGACACGTTCAGCAGGGAATGGGAAGGGATAACATGAGAGGCTCCCCAAGGGGACATTTTAGGGGAAGGGGTAATATGGGATATAATATGGGAAGGGGAAATTATAATAAATATTCTGATAACTTTCCCATGTATGGCAACAGAGGTAGGGGAATGATGGGGCCCCGAGGTAGAGGTATGAATTATAATAGAATGGGGCCATGGGGATACACAGATAATCTACAAGGAAATTATCAAGGAGGATATAGACACCAGGAGCCTTTTTACCATGGACACAATGTGGGTCCCTCTTACAACATGAGGGCATTCCGAGGGGGAAGAGGGCGCCCAAACAGAGGCAGAGGTGAGGAAAATCTTCAAGTGGAAAGAGTTGTTTTCTTAATTTTTATCCTCATGTTGAGGAAAACAACTCTTATTATTGATACTTTTGAATTTCGTTGTAAAGCTGACAGGTTATGGTTCTGTTTTAACATTTTAAAATTAAACTTATTTTGTTTTTGTTATATAGGTCAGTTTACGCCCAAACCAGAGAAGAGGATCATGGATCGTCCTTGTGCCAACTGCAAGAAAATAGGTATGCATTAATGATAAAGAAAAAAATTCAGAAATATTGAATTTTCAGATGATGTTGGTTTTTGCTGCATATTGACTCCAAGATTATGTTACTGTTGACAGGTGGATTCCAGTGCAGTCGCTGTAAGACGCCGTACTGCTCTCAACAGTGTCAGGCTGACCATTGGCCAGAACACAGCCAGAACTGTAAAGACATCAAGTAAATAATCTTATCACCATTTATACATTTTTTTATAATCAATCAGCATCCTGAACAATTTACTCTTCTGAGCAGTGTGTATGTTTAGATGAAGGATTTGCTAAATAAGTATTTCTCTTTCAGGTTTTACATATTAGCAACAGTTTAATTTGTCATTTGATAAATTTTTGTTAGGGAGCAGCTTGCTGAGGATGAAGTTGCCAGTCAGTTTGAGGTAACGATTGGAGAAGACTCTGTAGTAGAGGTAAGAATTTGATGCATTTGTCTTTAACATGATGGTAAATGGTGTGCCAAAGAATCATTGACTAGGTGGTGTGCCAAAGAATCATTGACTAGGTGGTGTGCCAAAGAATCACTGACTAGGTGGTGTGCCAAAGAATCATTGACTAGGTGGTGTGCCAAAGAATCACTGACTAGGTGGTAGGGCTGTAACGGTTCCAAAATTTTTCAGATTGGGTCGGTTCTGTAAATTTTCGGTTCAGTTTCGGGTTTTTCAGTTCGGTTATTTACCTCTATTTTAAACCTTAATTTCATGAATTTAATATAAACATTCTGTTTTTGTTACGTAACATTCACCTTTTAAACAAATCTTATCCATGTAAACGTCTTAATGTTGATGTTTAGGACTATTAGGCTGACTATAAGTTACAATCTGACCATTCTTGCTTGTTTTGATAATTATCTAATCCTTTCGAGACAAGTGTTTTGTCATGGAATGAAGTATAATTCAGTTGTGATGTTTATTTATCACTGTTATCATCATCATTCTTTTGATTTTGACACCATTTTTTGTATAAAACATATCCTTAATATATATTAACCAGACCGGAACCGAAATCTGGAAAAATTTAACCGAAACCGAACCGAACAACGTGGACCACGGTTTTCGGTTATTTTGGGGAACCATGACAGCCCTACTAGGTGGTATGCCAAAGAATCATTGACAAGGTGGTATCCCAAAAAAATCATTGACTAGGTGGTATCCCAAAAAAATCATTGACTAGGTGGTATGCCAAAAAAAATCATCTCCCTTTCTTCATAGTTTAGCAAAATTTATTAATTATAGCAAACCATATACTTGCCTTCTTCAAGTTAATTTTGTTATTGAAGTATATAGTTCTAATAGAAATGGTACGTGTAAGTCCCTTATTTTTCACTGTGAACAAGTTTGATGAAATTCAACATTTCTAATCAGAATTTCTTATCCTAGTTTTATGGGTAGGTGTTAAATAATGCTTATAAAGTAATGGGAAAAAACTACCATTATTGTCCCCCGCTTTCACTGAAAGTGGGGGATATTAATTTGGGTCTGTCTGTCCGTCCGTCTGTATTTCTGTCTGTCTGTAACACTTTCGTTTCCGCGCGATATCTCGAGAACTCTTTGAGCTTTCGCAATGAAATTTTGCATAGCAACTTCCTATCGCCTAAAGAAGAACTGTATTGATTTTGAGGTCAAAAGGTCGAAGGTCAAGGTCATAACTTCATAAATTCTGTCTGTTTTAACACTTTCGTTTCTGCGCGATATCTCGTGAATTCTTTGAGCTTTTTTAATGAAATTTTACATGACAACTCCCTGTGGCCTCAGGAAGACCTCTACAGATTTTGAGGTCAAAAGGTCAAAGTTCAAGGTCATAAATTCATAAATTCCGTCTGTGTGTAACACTTTTGTTTCCGGGCCATATTTCAAGAAGCTTTTGAGCTTTTGCAATGAAATTTTATACCATAACTCCCTATAGCCTCTCTCGCCCCTCTCGAAGTGTCCCACCCCTAGACAGAAAATGATTAATGTCCTACGGACCCGGTTTAACGATAGAATGCGTTTCGTGTATTGTCAATGTCGCAGAAGAAAATACGGGAGATAACTCTAACTCAGTTCATTTACTATGAATAATCCCGAGTGTTCCGAATGTCAACATGGTGTGTAAATTTGAAACGAGTAAAAAACGTCGGTGAAAAAGTGTTGAATTCTTCCATAATATGGATTAAATTTTTAGATGAAAGGTATTTACAGTCTCAAAAAGGTTTGTTATGATTAATTTGACTGTTATTTTCAATGCAACTTCATTAATTTCCTCCAAAATCATTTCGGAGCGATTCTGCAATTTTCTGCTACATTACGGGTATATGGGGGGCATTCTAACTGTGGTGAGGGTCATCCCGAGACACAGTTAGATTATTCTAACTACGCACCCCTTTTTTATTTTATTTATTTATTGTATTAAAAGTCGCTTGGCACTATTTTTAGCACAGGGGCATGTGGAGTGTTTTAATAATTTCGTATAATACAGGTTGTCGGCGGACTTTATATTCTAATTACATATATTAGAACTGTTTAGTAAAGGCTAAATAAGACACCATGTATTGATTAAAATTTTGACAATATCGAACGTGAAAATAAACATTATATGTGACTTAATGTTTGCATTTAATTTCTTGTATATTCAAGTGTCTCTGTGGTCTAATGGTATGATGCTCGCTTAGCAAGCGAGAGGCCAGGGTTCAATCCCCGGATGATTCTCTTTCTTTTTTAAATGTTTTTTCTTTTTTTTCTTTTTTTTTTTCTTTTTTGGATTTACTAAATGATACTATTCAACATGTGAAATGAAAAAGTTATGATGTCTGGCGTGTACAAACTCATAAAATCATTATTACAGTGTGATAAATATTCTGTATATATTAAAAAGAATCTTCCATGTACACATATTAAAGAATAAGCAATCAAATCTTTATATCCATATTAGCTTTTTTTAAATTTGCTTCAATATACATGTATACATTTAATAATTCTACAAATACAGGGGGGCAGTATGACCCCCCCCCCCCCCAACTGCGCATGCTCTTTTTTCCCTAAGCGGGGGACACAAATTCTCTGAATTAGCTTGTTTACAGCTTGTATTGCTTTAAAGTTGATAATTGTGAAATGATTACATGGAGGGATTTGTTTGTGGTTTTGATATATGGATTATATTCCTTTTATATTTTCTGGTTTTTATCAGAATTCTCAAAAATTTTGCAGGAAATGAAATCATATGCCAAAAGTATTATTCAGGAACAGTATGGCTCTGTAAGTGGTTGTGCAAAATCACCACAGTCTAGTCAACAGATCACACCAAATCGGCAGAGAGCAAGTCAGCCGTCGCCAAAACAAAGCAGTTCCTTTTCATCCATCAGGGAGCTGAAACAGGAGTCTAGTCAACAGGTCACACCAAACAGAGCAAGTCGGAGTCAGCCATCCCCCAAACAGAGTGATTCTTTGTATGGCAGGGAGCCCAAACAGCAGTCGGGTGTAACCCCAGTCCAGAATGCCAGCACTCCATCACCACATGTACTTCCTCAAGATGGTAAGGCCAAGTTCTGGGTATTTTATATAATATAATACAATATAATTATTGTATAAGCTGCAGTAGAATTTTTTTTTTTATTTTGAGAAATTATTAATATTTCATACTGCTTAAAAGGATGAAAAAGTAGAAGAGTGAACATTTCAGTTAATTATCAATTTAGTGAAAGTTTATCTTTAATAAAACAAATATAAGCAAGAATGAAATTCTTAACGTCAGCAAGTCTCACATAATGAACGATAATTAATTTGTCATGTATATAAAATAATTTATGTTAAAAGATGTGTGTCTGTTTTTAGAGGAGAAAATTAATGAAGGGTTATTTTTCAGGGCAAAGAAAGTCTGCACCATCACCTTCTAACAGAATTGTTATAAACAGTCTAGATACTGGCGAGGAATATGAAGTAAGAGTTGATCATTGGTTCTTTGAGTTATACATTGTTTCTTAGATTCTTTGAAAACTTTGTGTGTGGATTGGGTTGATCTTGAAAATTTGAAAGAAAAAAAAAACATTGAATATGTATCCCATGTTTGGGAAGAAGTTGATAATCTTCATTTACAAAAGAAGAACATAACTATCATTATTATTAAAGATTGAACCTTTTTGACTATTTTATGTTTTTAACCATTTAATTAATCAAAAGGAATGGAGTAAATACATTAATACACTGTAATAGCTACCCATAATCATATACTGTATGTGATCCATGGATTAATAAACTTTCTGGATGTTAGTTTATCAGGATGATAGTTTATCCATTGTCTCTCTTGACTTTATAGCTGATTGTGGAGAGTGTGGAGGACCCCAGTAGAATTGTTGTCCAGATCTTGAATTCTGAGGACCTGCAGAAATTGGCAGAGCTGAATGCTGAAATGAAAAAGGTATACTCCCCACCTTCCCCATTAAAAAAACAACTTGAAAATATTTGATGATCTATGAATTTTTACCTCTTCCGAGCCTAAGGCTTAAAGGGCTAATGTTATGGCCATTTGTGTGGCGTGCATAAACTTTTTAGAATATGGGCCATAACTCAAGAACCCCTTGGCCAATTATAGTCAAATTTTTCATAGGGTATCTTTTGCCGAAGGGCTCCTGTTTGTACTAAAACTAGGGTTGTGACCTTTAAACAAGGGGAGATAATTAGATAAATAAAACCAAAAGTATTGGTTGCTAAAAAATCTTCTTCTCAAGAACCACTGGGCAGATTATCACCAAACTTGCACAAAAGGTTGAGGATATGTTGGAGATTGAAATTTGCACGGGGATTCACCCTGGGGCAAAGGACGTGGTCTCAAGGTCACTTCAAAGTTGACCAAAAATTATATTTTATTAAAATGTTGATCCTTTGCTTACTATAAGGACTAGGATCATCAAATCTTGTCAGTTGATGCATCTAAGGACCTCGTATCGTTGACTCAAAATTAGGTCATGGTGACCTACTTTTTAAATTTTGCGTCCATTCATTTTCAAAATGATTTAGTGGCATATTTTGAACAATTTAAGGCCTATGATCATCAAACTTTGTCAGTTGATGTATCTTGGGTCCTCATAGTATGTTGACTAAAAAGTAGGTCACCTTGACCTGCTCTTTGAATTTTATGGCTAATCTTTTTTTAAAACAATTAAAGTCATCAATTTGAAAACTGAGAGGTTCTTGTAAGATGATGCATCTTTGGGCCATAAAACATATTTATTAAAAAGTAGGTCACAGTGACCTACTTTTTGTACTTTGCAGGCATTCAATTTCAAAGCATTTTAGAAGCATATTTTGGACATTTTAAGGCCTATGATCATAAAATTTGTTAGTTGATGCTTCTTGGGTCTTCGAAAAACATCATCTGAAAAGTAGGTCAACGTGACCTACTTTTCAATTTATATGACTATAATTAAATATTTCTTTTACTAATTGACTTAGAATCATTAAACTTTGTCAGTTGATGCATCTTGGGTCTTTGGAGTAGGTCAATTGAAAAGTAGGTCACAGTGACCTACCTTTGAAAATTTTTGGTTTTGATTAAATATTTCGGGTACTAATTGGCTTAATAGAATCATCAAACTTTGTCAGTTGATGCATCTTGGGTCCTCAAAGTATGTCTTCTGAAAAGAAGGTCACTGTGACCTACTTTTGAAATTTTATGGATATGATTTTAAAAATATTTTAGGTATTAATTGGCTTAGAATCATCAAACTTAGTTGATGCATCTTGGGTCCTTAGAGAATGACAAGTGATAAGTAGGTCACTGTGACCTACTCTCGGGTACTAATTGGCTTAGAATCATCTTGGGTTCTCGAGAGTGTTTCATCTAAAATGTAGGTCATGATGACCTACCTTTGGAATTTCAAGGCTTTATCTAAATATACAGGATATTTATAGACTTCAAATAGAAGTGATAGGTTGTACAGTTTATCAGAAGAGCGATTTAAGGCCCTTGGGCCTCTTGTTGGTGTAGGTAGTTTTTATTGATATTTCTTCAATATGAAGATCGTGATCGGGAGGTCGTGAGTTCGAATCTCGGCCGCGACAGACCCAAGTCGATAAAAAATGGGTAGAAACTGTTCTTTCGCCATGCGCTCGGCACTTTGAAGTGAAAGTTGCGGGTCCTTCGGATGAGACCTTAAAAACCGAGGCCCCGTGTCACGGCAGGCGTTGGCACGATAAAGATCCCTCACTGCTCAATGGCCCTGAGTGCCGAGTAAAGGTCAAAATTTGAAGCCCTTCACCGGTATATGGTGACGTCTCTATATGAGTGAAAAATTCTCGAATGGGACGTAAAACAACATACAATCAATCAATCAATCAATATGAAGATTGATTCTAAGGAAAAGATATACCGGTATAAATATTTAAGGGATGTTCTTTAAAGTTTTTGGGTGAGATAATAGTGTGTAAATAACACAGATTTGTCACAGGCATATTTCAGGAAGTGTGCAAGAGCTTTATGAAAAATATACCTACATGTAAGTCTGTGAGATTTACACACTAATAATTTAGGCAAAACTTGAAAACATTCCTTATATTCAAATTTTAATGTTTGAAATCAGCAAATGTACACTCATTGGATGAATTTCTCGCTGCCCTATATTGTTATATCTATTAATGTCTCTGTAGCCTCATTGTGACATCACTCTAGCTCAAGTTTTTCCATGCATTTTATTATTGGTGAATAATTGATATAGTGAATTCTTTCTAACGCAGCCTTCAAATTCCTTCTGTATAACTCCAGTTCAATCCGATATGTGCGAGTGGATGTGTGAATGTTTGTGTGTGTAAAAAATCCTTTGTATACTGCCTTGTAGATATTTATATGTAACTATATATTGACATGTATACAATGGATAATGTAAATAAAAAGAAAATTTAAAAAAAAAAAAGTTTTTCCATGTATATTTCTAGGCATGAGTATACACAAACATGCCATTCAAAGCAAATTTCGTTGTTGGTTTCATAAAAAACAGCAAATGTAAATATTAAGTTATGGTAGCATGTCATTTAAAGGAAAACTACATATTATGCCTTCAGGTGCTTGACAAGGACAATCGTACTGTATCTGACCCTGCAGTGGGGGAGTTCTATGCTGGTCAGTTTACAGACGGAAGCTGGTACCGCTGTCGAGTGGACACCCATGATCCTGACCATCAAGTCACTGTGACTTATGTAGACTATGGCAACAGGGAGACAATAACGTACAACAAACTGAGGAATCTTCAGCCACAGTGGTGTACACTGCCCGGACAGGTGAGCATTATGTCCTAATATTTTTCTGCTCAGGCCAGGTGAGCATAATGGGTCAATATCTGTCTGCTCAGGCCAGGTGAGCATAGTGGGTCAATATCTGTCTGCTCAGGCCAGATAATCATAATGGGTCAATATCTGTCTGTACATTTCAAATTTCTGATGGGGTAGAAATTTTCATTTTTAAAATGGGGTAAAATTTGTTGGCTGTAAATCCTTAGGCAATGAGGTTAGCTTGCAATTATTGTTTCATTCTTGTGTTATATATACCGTGTATATACCTTAAATTTGAATGATCTACAAAGAGTATTTTAAGGTTGTGAGTAGGTTTACTTGTCAAACCAGAAACAAATGCTTACTTATAATTTCATGAGTAAACTTTGTGAAAAAAACTTGCCTGTAAAGTTTTGTAAGCATTACATTGTCATGGAGCTAGAATATGTATTAATAAAATTCATATACTTCAGGCAATAGTGTGCACTTTGGATGGAGTAGTTCCTCATATGGACTCCAAATTTTGGAGCCAGCAGGCAGTAGACAAAACTAAAGAACTGCTGCCACCCACCATGGAATGTGGGAGGATGTACAAGGTGACCTGTACTGGAAAAGATGAAGATCTGATCTTGATTAAAGTGCTGGATGCCAATGGTAAGATAAAGTTTTGGTCCATACCTGGGCTGCATTGAAGATTATAGCTAACCTAGCTGCTATGTAGACTTGAATAAATGGCCTCTGTGGCATTGACTTAATTGATACTTAACTTCTTCCTTTGTAAAATAATAGGTGTTTATCATAATATGAATATTTTATGTAGGCTTGTAGAGTGTTTTTTAGCTCACCTGAGCTGAAGGCTCAAGTGAGCTTTTCTGATCAAAATTTGTCCGTTGTCTGTCGTTGTCATTAACTTTTCACAATTTCATCTTCTTCTCACAAACCACTGGGCCAATTTCAACCAAACTTGGCACAGAGTATCCTTGGGTGAAGGGGATTCAAGTTTGTTCAAATGAAGGGCATGCCCTCTTCCAAGGGGGGATTATTACAAAATAGTGAAAAATTAATGGCATCTTTTAAAAATCTTCTTCTCAAGAACCAATGGGCCAGGAAAGATGAAACTCATGTGGAATCATCATCTGGTAGATTAGATTCAAATTTGTTCAAATCATGACCCCTGGGGGTAGGGTGGGGCCACAATGGATGATCAAAGTTTTACATAGGAATATATAGGAAAAATATTCAAAAATCTTCTTCTCAAGAAAAGCAAAGCCATGATTGGTCATATTTATATGGAAGTATCCTCAGGTGGTTTAGATTCAAGTTTGTTCAATTCATGACCCCCGGGGCTAGGGTGAGGCCACAATGGGCGATCAAAGTTTTACATAGGAATGTATAGGAAAAATCTTCAAAAATCTTTTTAAGAACAGCGAAGCCATGATTGGTCATATTTATATGGAAGCAATCTTAGGTGGTGTACATTCAAGTTTGTTCAAGTCATGACCCCCAGGGGTAGGGTGGGGCCACAATGGAAGATCAAAGTTTTACATAGGAGTATATAGGAAAAATCTTCAAAAATCTTCTTCTCAAGAACAACAAAGCCATGATTGGTCATATTTATATGGAAGCATTCTCAGGTAGTGTAGATTCAAGTTTTTTCAAATCATGACCCCCAGGGGTAGGGAGGGGCCACAATGAAAGTTTAAACCTGTAGACAAAAGCCACAGTTAGTCAAAGAAATATGTAAGCATCCTTAGTGTAAATTCAATTTTTTCAAATCAGGACCCCCCCCCTCCCTCCCATTTTTGGGTTAGGTAGGGACCACTTAAATGCATTTAGGATTTTTAATACTGAACTGATTTTTGCTTTTTTTCCTAGCCACAGTTCTCAGGTGAGCGATGTGGCCCATGGGCCTCTTGTTTTTTATTGTTTTTCAGTTTTTCTTGTAGATAAGAAAGAGAATCATTTGTGTCAAGTATATGAAAAGCAGTGGGGTTTTTTTCTGCATCTCTGTGTGTTTTCAGAGAAATACATTTAGATATTGATTTTTGTTCACAGGACAAGATGTCAGCGAGACCCTTATAAACTCCGGCCTAGCATCCAAAAAAAGCCAGAACAAACAGTCTTCAGGGCCACAGTTGTATGTATATAAAGACTGACCTTAAAGTTTAAAACATAAAAAAGATTTAAATGATCGAGGAAACTGCATTTCGTACTACCACATTACATGTGCATTTTTTTTCCATATGAAGTAAAGGAGAATTTGTTGAAATTAAACTGACTGAAAGATGAGGAAGTTTGGATTTTGATTATAGGAATTTTAATTTGTCCGTTTCTTCCACAGTATATGTATTGATGCCAAAGAAATAGAAGATAAAATGGAAGACTGGATCAGTGGCCAGAAATACGACGTGTTAATAGCTGAGAGGGACAGCCCACTAGACTTTTACGTCCAAAAAGTAGAGGATCTTGAAAAATCCATGACTCCATACTGCGCCAAAGTCAATGAGGAATGTATGGCTATACAGACAGATCACTATCAGTGAGTATGCTGTACATGTTCAGTTGTACTACATAATCAGGTGGGGGTTTTTATGAACCTGTCATAGTTATGAACTCCTTTTCATATCAGACTAGTATAAAATTCTAAGAAAGGGGTTGGAGGGGGAGGGGTTTAGAAGGTTCAATGGAGCAGAGGTGAATGATGAATTGTAATATTGTAACAGTTGACCTTTATTTTAATTGCAGCCCTAAAGGAGTTGGGGAGCTGGTGTATGGCCTATATGACAGCAATTGGTACCGAGCTGAAGTCCTCAGCCTGTCCAACCAGCAGGCAAAGATTTATTTCATTGATTTTGGAAACACTGAACTGGTTCCTTTCAGTGATCTCAAGCAGGCCACCAGTCTCTGCAAGGAGAGGCCACCTTTCTGTGTTCACTGCCAACTGGTAGAGATGGACCCAGAAGGAGCAGCAAGAGCGAACGAGTTATTTAATGAACTTACACACAAAAATGATCCCAAAGTGCTCACTATGATTTACAAGGGCAGAAGAAGAGATAAAGCAATTGTGGATTTCTTAACTGATCAGGAGGAACTTGTGTCTGTGGCAATTTCAAGGTTTTTAGTACAGGCTATGGTATCTGCTCCTGTAATGGCAGAAGGTATAAAGTCTTCAACCTTGCCAGGAGATGGGACCCCAGTTACCTGTGTCATAATGTACATCACATCTCTCTTTTCATTTTATGTCCAGTCTGCCAGCAACAACATTGAAAGAATTATGAGTGAAATAGCAGAGATCTGCTCCAGGAATTCTGTGCCATATACACCAAAGGTTGGAGAAATGGTATTTGGGAAGTTCTCTGACGATGGGCGCTGGTACAGGGCTAAAGTGTTGGGAATATCTGGTGATGAGGTTGTTTTATTGTATACAGATTTTGGCAATGTGGAAACAGTGACCAAAAATGCCGTGAGAAGATTTCATCCAGCCTTGGTCAATTACCCACACCAAAGCATTCATTGCAAGTTAGCATCAGTGACCAAGTCAATGGAAACTCCAGAAGTGCTTCAGACATTTGGTAGCTTGTACAACTGTAAAGTACAGGTGAAACTGAGAGGTCCAATTAATGTGGACCCATTAGAAGTAGATATTCTGCTGGAGGATGGTAGTAATGTTAACGAAACAATTGTAAATATGTTTTCCTCACAAGCAAGCCCAGCAGTGACCAGTTCTAGTCCTAAAGCAAAAAAGACAGTATTGTACACCAAGATCCACTTCGAGGAGGCTCCTATTCCTGTGGATGGAACCCAGGTCGAATGTACAATGACAGAATTTAATAGTTTTGATTCATTTTATTTACAAATCAATGAAGTCCAGGCACTTGAAAACTTGATGACAGAACTGCAAAATTTGAGTAAAGAACCAACACCATATCAACCTGAAGTTGGTGAAGATGTTTGTGCATTGTTTTCTGTAGACAGTAAATGGTACAGAGCACGAGTAGTAGAGAAGATGGAACAGGATTCCTACATTGTATTATTTGTAGACTATGGAAATAAGGAACAAGTCACATCCAATGAAGTCCGGAAATTAAAATCGGAATACGTACAGCTGCCATGCCTAGCAGTTCACTGCAGACTAGCAGTCCGGACACCTCTGTCAGATGACCTTAAATCAAAGTTTGCTGAACTTACAGTGTCCAAAATTCTTTACTTTCAAGCCTTGTCTGAAAACAATAAACTGTATGACATAAAATTGTACACCCAAGATGGCTCCTGTGTAAATGACGTCCTTGTAGGTAATTCTTCAAGCAGAAAGTCGGCAGTGGTAGAGGCTCCCCATAGCAGACCAAGAATTCCTGAATTTGACATGCCAGTGGATGGAGGAAAACTCCCTTTTCTTGTCACACATGTTAACAGTGTCAATTCCTTCTATGCCCATTACTATACAGAAGAGAGTTGTGAAAAGTTCAACAGTTTACTCCAAAAAATTGACACCTACTGTGCAGGCATCACAGAGCCTTATCTTCCTGTAGTAGGAGAGCATGTATGCTGCCAGTTTTCTGAGACTGGTCAGTGGTTAAGAGCTGAAGTACTACACATTGAGGACTCCTCCTATAATGTGCAGTTTGTCGACTATGGAAATGTCTGCACTGTTCAAAAGGATCAGATCCGCAAGGCCGATGACTCTTTTCTATACTTGCCAAAACAAGCCATTCACTGTAAATTGACAAGCATCGATAACCAGAGCTCTCCATTGATTCTAGAAAAATTTGATGCGGCTGTAAAAAATACACTGAGTTACATCAAGGCTCTTGGAAAGGAGAGAAGTGTTTATGAGGTACATATTACTACTGATCAAGAGGACGTTGTAGAACAGCTGAAAAAGTTATCGACCTCATTCGTTCCTCGGATCTTGCCAGTTGGTAGCACAAAAGAACCCTGTATCTTTCAGGAAGTGGACAGTCTCCACTCTTTTTACTTGTTATTAGTAGGTCAATCTTACAGGGAAGAGTTATCTGTTCTTGAAGAAAAATTGAAAAACTTTGGCGAGAAATCTTCCTCACCCTACCAGCCTGTAAAAGATGAAATTGTTCTAGCCAAATTTTCAGAAGATGGAAAATGGTACAGAGCCAAAGTTTTGGAGGTCTTAGGTGAATCCGCCTTCAAAGTGTACTTCATTGATTATGGAAATGTGGACTTGAACACCCCGGTGGACATTAGACAAATTGACCCGTCCCTCTTGTCTGTGCCAAATTTTACTATTCATTGTAAGCTCGCGGACATTGGCGAAAAGGAATCGGAGCAGGCATTGCATCAGTTTATTAACCTTGTCGCAAACAACCTCTTGCATTTACAGGTTGTCAGGGTAGAAGGTGAGCTTCATGAGATAATCCTCTTCACTGACGGAGGTGAAAATGTCAATGAGCATGTACGTCAGTCGATAGCCCTGTCTGAGCTCTCTGCTGGATCACCACAGGCTTCCAAAGGTGCTACAGCAGCAGGTAATTCCCCTGGAATGACAGCATCAGGAAGTCCTTCAGGGGATGGAAACAGAGGGGGTTCCCCAGGGGCAGGGAAAAGTGTGAACATTCGCCTCAGTGACATGTCCAAGGTTGAACCTCAGAGTGAAGAATTTCAGGTGATCATTACCTCCATTGATTCTCCTGAAGAGTTCTTCTGTCAAATTGCTGATGAAGAAGGTTGGTATACAGAATCTTTCTTCTTAACATACAGTACATCAATTAATACAGTAAGAATGTGTTGTTAATTAAATGTACAACTGTGTAAAAAAAGTTTGGGTGATTTATCGGCTGTAAATTTCTATGGTCCATGTGCATTTGCTAATTGACATGAGTGTCTGACTTAACTGACACACCTGTACTATCTTGACATTTAGCTGTGGGTAAACTGGCTGCCATGATGCAGGCAGTGATGATATATTGTGAGACAGAGCCACATGATCCAAACCATAAGTACATCGTGGGGGACATGTGCTGTGCTTTCTACAGCCTATGTGAATGTAAGTGTTAAATAATGTTGTATACATAGAAATCACAATCTACTTGTAATTAACTGTAAAATGTGTTAAAAAAACTTTTGTCCAATGTTAGATGCAGTGTCTGATATACATGTAATGTGATTTACTTTTAAATGAACTTGCATCTTAAAATTTAAGATAAAGTGTATGTCCTAGAATACACATTCTTAGGAAGAGAATATTCAACTGCACAAAAAAAGATTAAGGGGGGGGGGGGGGGATGTGTTGCATTCATAAAATAAAGATTTCTCATTTTGTTTACAGCTGATGGGGGATGGTATAGGAGTGTTATAACAGAAACGTTTCCTAATGGAACCTACAGCCTACAATATGTGGACTTTGGAAATAGAGCCATACTACCTGCCAACCAGCTACGTCCAATGAAACCAGACTTTATGGAACCTCCCATTCTGGCTTTTAAATGCTCACTGCATGGTAAATTTAACACAGGGTCTACTCAAGACCATGTAAAATTTTTTGGGAGTAGCAAATTTCAAAGGCTTAAATCAGTCCAAAAATATGAATATTTTAGAATTTTTCCTTGTTCCTTTGAATTGTTCATACTTATTGTGTGTATTTTGACAGGTATTTCAGCCCCAGAGGGACTGTGGTCTAACAGTGCTAGTGAAAAACTAAACCAGTTTGTAGACCATGCTTTATATGCTCGTCTAAAGGATCGTAGTGGGGACACCTTTGTTCTGTGGCTAATTAGGCCGGGACAGGACGACTACAGTGAGGATATTGATGTAGCAGAATACTTGGTATCCTGTGGTGTAGCACAATCCAAGTCCAGTGAAGGTATTTAACTGCATTCCTTTGATTTATTGGGTTTTAATGCAGGAATTGGGAAGACCATCAAGGTCTATACGACTATGGTGCAACTGTCAAATCTTTTTTAATGGGCCATTTTGAAAATGAATGGGCCATCTATATAATTTGATGGGCCATTTTAAGAAAAAAATATGACAGAAAATGTAAAATACAAAAGGAAACCCTTTTCTTTATTAACCAAATTTTATTTTTCACATATGCAGTGTAACACATTTAAAGGAATCTGTGAACAATATAATTTTCTTGTATTTTGGATCAATAACGTCAAAATTTCTATTAAATATTGGAAATGAGTGAGGTAATGTACCTTTGTTGTTTTAAATAAAACGCTTCATGTAACAGGAGGCAGTTTTTGCCAGGTTTTAACCATTGAGATTTGTTGTATTAAAATGAAAGCAAAACAAGCAAGAAAGTCATACGAAATATATATTTCAAACTAACATTGCTAAAATTTGAATGCACACCTTGGCACCACCAATGTTTGATTTAATGCGCTATTTTCACTTCAGTGCAACATTGGTGCGTGGCTCAAGCCCTTCCCAATCATTGTTAATGGCTGAAATAGTTCATAATTATATATAAATAATAAGATAAATGATAAATATATAAATGTGCTACCTAGAAATATTTGTTGGCTTTCAACAGAGACGGGGGTTTGGTCGAGAGAGTTGTTTTGAAAATGAATTTATAGGGAAAGTTCACGGAAAGTAAAAATAGCTGCAAAGTAAAAAAGAAAATTGAGAGTTTAATCTTCTGGGGGTGTATTTGATTTATTAATTAACAATAATGTTGAGTTTGGTTGACATCAGGTATGAGCCCAAACACAACTCTGTAATCAAAAAGCAAGAACACAAGTCCTTTATATCAGTCAGCTTCATAAAAAGATCAGTTTAAATCATAAAGATCAATTACGTGTTCATTACAATTATTTTAATTTTTACATTATTCAGGAAAAATAATTTTTTAGATGAAATTTGACAAAACACTCTGCTTCACTTAGTTTTCTGCCTTTTTTTTTCTTGTCAATGCTCATAAAAGTGAGAGAGTGTTCTTGACCTAATTTTGCAATACTTGTGTTTGAGTTGTTTTATTTTAAAAAATCTGGCTCCAGAGCTCCAACTTGTGTTCAAATAAAGTAAACTCTTGAGTTTTGTTGACAAAAAATGACTTGCTTTATGCATTGTTGCTGTATTGTTTTATAGTAATATTTGTTATTGATTATTTTATAATTTGATGTTGACAGATGATCAAGCAGCAGCCATTCAGCAACAGATTGCCGCCCTCCAAGCTCAGTTAAAGAAACTCGCCCCAAAGAAGTAAGGACGGGGACAGTAGCATGTTTTATATTTGCTTAAACAACTTAATCTTTTTCTTCTTTTTTTTTTTTTTTAAAGAAAAATTAAGTATGAAGATTCTGATATTCAAAATGACATTAACAATTACTATAAAAGTTCTGAATTAAGCAGAACTTGTATGTCAAAGTTGTTCTGTGACTTACCTTTATTGGATAATTAAGAAATAAAGCCCATAGAAGGCCTAGACAAACTTATAATAGAACATTATGCCTTGTACATATTGAAATATAAACAGGTACAAGCCAATGTATGACCTACCATTTTAAAGTTTGCAATATACAGAGGTCTACTTCTTGTTCAGAGGGTTTCCAAGAGAAAGGTCACGTTGAGTTTGGTTTCTTGTGTATCACTTTTTGTTTGATGTACTTAATAGAAACCCATTGATTTTCATTGTGTTGTCTAGAAAAATAACTACTGATTAGTTATTTTCAGCTTTATACATGTAATTATGTAAATATGCATTTTGTTCATGATTTTCTGAACCAATGTTCAGTATATTACAATTTATGATCAATTGGTAACAAATTGGAGAAGAGTTTGTTTTCATATTTGAGCATATGTACATGAATCTTTTGAGAGCTATTACATGTATCTCCAATGCTGAATTGTTGAAGTTGCTTATTTGCTGAAACTTTTCAATTACTTCGTTATTTCATTAACAATGTATTTTTGAGGTCTGAGTGCACAGATATTGAAAGATGTTGGAAAGTGACATATATTATGTTGCATTTTCCTTTTGAAACTTGCCAAGGAAGCAAAGTTTTGAAATTTGTTAAATAAGCATTGAAGAAATGCCTTTTATTTTATTTAGAGTAATTATATGTATGTTGAAGATTTTGTGAACTGTATCTTTTGAGGAAATGATTTTTTTTCTAAAATTTAGAAGGATTTTTTGTTTTGTTACATGAAGTACAATGTATTCTTTGATGAAATCAAGTTGATAAATAATATTATAATAGGTGGCCAGATAAAAATAGTTCTCCATCCTTTCAAGAAAAAAAGTCTTGTTAAAAAAACAAGAATTTTGTTTCTCCAAAAGTGAAGAACCTGCATATGCAGTCCTGTGTTATGTATAAACAGCATGTGTTGGAGTTTGTTACCCACGTCAGGTATATGCAGAGAAATAGTACTGATGGTCGCAAGGCCCCAAACATGAAAAGAACAGGGAGTTAAACATTATACATGTTAACCTCATTCTTGATGTCCATAAAAAGAAGTTACTGTATTTTATTTCCAGATGGCTGAATACATTTCCTTTAATCCAATATTTCCTTTAATGCAGTATTTTTCAAAATATTCATATTTACGCTAAAATGGGGATGCCTCTTACATCTTATTGAACACTCTTTTCTTAAATGGAGTTGGCTATTGTTCTGCTTTGTCAAATAGAGAACAAGTGAAATATTCCACATATTTCCAGTTCCAGTTCTTCTCCAGTGAAAAATACCACACAATGAGGGTCATTCTCCTCGGGAGATTTTCTAGAAACTTTTATCAAGGAAACTTTTATCAAGGAGTTGTCAAATTCTTTGAAGAAGTAAATAATTCCTTATATTTCTGTGTCTCCCCTAATGATTCTTTAATGATTGGTCTTTTTCCCTTCGATGGTATCTTTTGGTACTCTTTGCCAAACTGCTCTCATGGATGAGTTGGCCACATAAAAATGTCACTTGCATTAAGTGAAATATTCCACTTATTCTTTGATGTCCTCTTGTTGCATTGTCAGTGACAACATTTCCAAGTTCCCAGCAGATACTGGTACATTTTTATGCCTCGCCATGAATATGCCATGAATATGGCTAGGGTATATAGTGTTTGTCATGTCTGTCCTTTTGTCTGTCCTTCCATCACACTTTGCGTTTAGCTTAGTTACAAAGAAACTATTCAAGATATTTAATTAAACTTCATATGCTGATAAACACTGATGAGGGCTATTCAACTGCATTAGCATTTTTTGACCTTTCCTTTGACCTTGACCTCACTTTTCTTAAGTTAGTGTATAGCTCAGGCTCAAACATTTTTACCAAACCTTACTTGCTGATACATACTGAGGCCTGTTCAACAGAGTGAGCATTCATGAGTGCTTGCTTAAATTCCTTATCCCTCTAACAGAAATGTTCGTGTGTACTCGCAAACATTGCTCTGTTGAACAGGCCTCTAGTGAGAACTATTCAATTTTCAACATTTTATTACCTTGACTTCACTTTTCTTAAATTTTTGTTAAGCTTAGTTTCAAAGAAACTATTCAAGATATTTTTTTTATCAAACTTCATATGCTGATACATATTGATGAGAGCTATTTAACTTCATAAACATTTTATTTTTTTGACCTGGACTTTTCCTTTGACCTTACTTTATTTGAATTAGTGATATCTCAATTTCAAGAAACTTAATATATTTGTATGAAACCTTATATGCTTGTACAAATAATTAAAAATGATGAAGTTCAGAATGGAAATTAAAAAAAAAAAGATAAAAATATTCTGTACATTATGTCTTGCCAGTTAGGAAAAAGAAATACCCCTGTGCATTTTTTTTCTGTACAGTAGCTTAATTGCAGAATATTATTGTATCTTCTTTATCATTGGTTGACCACCAGATGTTTGAATGCAGTTTGGCACATGTTATACATGTAATGAAAAAAAATACATGTACATGTATGTACAACAGAAAATTATATGTGTATGGTATGTCTTGTTAATCTGTTGGGAATAAGTATTTTTTTTATGTGCATGTGTGTTAAAATTACATTGCATTACTCTCTTGATAACTTGGCAGTTGAGTGATTGTCTAACATAGAACATGTACATGTATTGATATTAAATAATTTTCTTTCTTTTGCAACAGACTGTATTTGAAAATTTGGTAAATATTTCTTTTGCAATCAAAACGAATGCCCTGATTTGTTACCATCTAGAATATTGAAGTGAGTTATTTGTGGGTGTCAAAATATGTTAATACATTTATTTCATTTACCAAATATACATGTTAAACTGTTTGTTAAAAAATGTAAGAATGAGAATTTGTAAAGTTTTCACTTTTTGCATATCAGAATGCTGTATTTTAGGGGAAAACAGATTATGGAAAGAAAACATTTAAGTGGATTTGTAACATAATGAACATGGGGGTATAAGGTGAAAAAGGATAGGTTCATGGAAAAGCCTTGTTCAGTTTTCTGTTTGCACTGTGTTTTCAAAGCAATGCTTTTATCATTAGAAAGTAATAAAATTGTATTGAACAAAACATTTTACAGAAAGTTGTAGCAACCTTAAACTATGGTACATGTATATCACCATTAAAGAAGTCAAAAGTTTTGACATATAATTGTACTTTTCATGTACGGTGGGTTCTTGATCACATATTTTTAAACCAAAAAGTATACACATGTATTTAGAAGATATTCTTAGTCTGGGGACAAGGACCCTAATAGCCCAAAAATATGGTAGAGTACATAGAGTAGAAATACTATTCAGTGTATGCTTGTCATGTTAGATGTATGTCCATGTTAGCTATTACATGTCTAACTTCTTCAATCGTCCAACCTTTAACCCATGTTCTTTGTGGAAGTTTGAAATTTTTACGGTTTGGCATCTCTCATGTTATTTGTGTATGGTCATACAATGATATAAAATGCTAATTGTATATGTGCCAAGTTATCTTGGAAAGTGAAAAAGCTGACACCATGGAAACATTTACAGATTACTAACCTTCAGCATTTTCTCTTCTTAAATGTTAGTAAAAGGTCAAAGATTCCACTTATTAATTCTTAAATTTTGATGAGTGAAGCCCAATCTCTGAAGTTTACTGAATAGACAAACTCTTAAACTGAATTACTGTGTTAATTTTAATGATCCAATACATGTACCATTTGAAATGTTCATATGCTTGCTTTGAAAGTTATAGACTGAAAATAAAACGCCACTATCCTTTCCAATACTGTGTTTTTTTAACTGAAAGTTATGACTTCAACCAAGTCTCTTGGATTTTTAGCTCACTGAGCTGAAAGCGCAAGTAAGCTCTTCTGATCACCCATTGTCCTTCATTTGTCAATCTGTCTATTAGTAAGTGAACTTTTCCTGATCGCATTAATAGAGGATGAAAATTATACATTGAAATGTATTAGAAAAATCTTAAAATCTCCTCAAAAACCACTGGGCAAGAAAGGTGAAACTTATGTGGAAGCTTCATTAGGAAGAGGTGATTCTATATTGTTCAAATCATGATCCCTTGGTGTAAAGTGGGGCAATAATGGGGGAATGAAATATAAACGTACTATTAAGAAGAGTCTTTAAAATCTTTACCTCAAGAATCACTTGGCTAGAAAAGGTGAAACTTACACGGAAGCTTCCTGATAAGGGTGCAACGATAAACCGTTTGACGGTATATCGCGGTATATTTTTTCACGGTTCAATTCATGATACGCTAAACTGATATCGCGGTTCAGTTCAATCGGTCCAGAATTATCCGTTTTGTCCGTTTTATTTCCTTCTTTACTATTTCAACATTGCTTCCGCGCAAAACGTGAGGTCGCCGATAACGCATTTATGGCAGTTAAACTCATCCCCAGCATCTTACAGACCTCAGATTTAACACGGAGAAGGACTTAATGTGATTATAAGTTATAGATGTTAAGACAAATGATAAACCCTTTAGATCTATAAACGTATTCTTTGGTAATACACGATATTCCATCATGTGTGTATTTCGATGAAAATTCGCTGTCTTGTTGACTAAAACGTATTAACACAAGAAATATGACAACTGGTTTTCTACGTAAATAAAAGGAATAAAAGAATGAATGTCTTCCTTTTTCATTCCAATTTAAAAGGAAGATTATTAGGAAAGGTCCCCGTAGTTCCCTGTAAATGTTCATCATTGGTTTAGAATGTCACAACTCAAAGATCTACCTAACAATCCAATTCAAGTTAACAAAATGTTATTTTAATTATTATTTAAAAATATGAACATTTTGTATAACCCTGTCAAGTTTAAAAAATATGACAAACTTGAAAGACTTTTTAACCTTGTCATGTATCGTGATACGTATCGTATCGTGAACTGAATACCGTGATACGTATCGTATCGTGAGGTGTATCGTTGCACCCCTACTTCCTGAGGAAGTATAGATTCTTTTAAAATTGTTCAAATCTTGACCCCTTTGTGTAAAATTGGGTTCAGGATAAGGGATGAAAGTTTTACATTGAAATATATAAGAAAAATCTTCGGTAAGCCTCTTCTCAGGAACCACTGGAAAAGATAAAACTTGTGTGAAGGAATAGATTCTAAACTGTTCCACTCATGCTTCCGGGGTTGTGTGGCACCACAGAAGGGGATCAAAGTTTGGCATGGAACTAAATAAAAAAAATTAAAATAACTCTAAAGAAACATTAGAACCATTAAGAACGAGGGGCGGCATACGGCAGGAATCTAGGCGTACTTGAGAAGTGAAAATTATTGAGCTGTATTACAGATGTGATATTTTAGCATTCATTTGATGTAAAATAGTGAAATAGGAATGGTAAATATTGTGTCTTATTTGCTATGATATGCCTTGAAATATGGCTAGATGATTCATTTGGTACAAAATTTGACATTTTTACACGTTTTTCTATGAATCTGCTATCTCTGGGTCATATATCCACGATTTTAAAATGATGTATATATGTGCATTTTAACTCAAAGAAACGAGAAAACGCTTGTAAAAATGGAGAGAGCCCCGGAAACTATAAACAGGAGGCCCATGGGCCACATCGCTCACCTGCGCACATTAGCTTAGAAAAAGCAGAAATCATTTAGATATTGAAAAGCTTAGGGGGGCAAAACTTGAATTTACACTACTTTACACTACCTCAGGATGCTTCCATATCAATATTACTAATCGTGGCTTTGCTGTTCTTGAGCAGAAAGATACACTACTTGAGGATGCTTCTATAATCAAATGACTAATCATGGCTTTGCTGTTCTCAAGCAGAAGATTTTTTCAAGGTGATTCCTATATATTCTTATGTAAAACTTTGACCCTGGGGGGTCATAATTTGAACAAACTTAATTCTACAGTACCTAAGGTTGCTTCTGTATAAATATGACTAATAATGGCTTAGTTATTATTGAGAAGAAGATTTTTGAAGATATTTCCTCTATATTCCTATGTAAAACTTCGAGTCACGCCCTACCCCTAGGGGTCATGATTTGAACAAATTTGAATCTACACCACCTGTGGATACTTCTTTATTAATATGACTTAAAATGAAAATATGACATAAATTAAGCAGGGGATGTTCACTCCTCCATGGCACCTGATCCCACCTCTGATGTTTGCCCTGCTCCTGATTTGTATTGTTTGAATGGACTTTTGAGCTTGAATACTGTTCGTTATCTCCATATTTCATATTTCAATTTGGTTTCTATTGCACCGAAAGCGAAAGCAATTCTTCCAATGATGATGCTATCATGCATTTCCATTAACTGTTCCAAATTAGTTTACACACTGATGTTTATCATTTATGTGAAGTTGCTATTTTTTGTAACTGTTAAGATAAACAGACCTAAATATTACAATTTTACAAGGTATTTTAATGCAATAATGTGACATTTTCTTAATTAAGTGCGTTACTCTGTAGTCCGTCAAGCTGTGGTCAGCCGACCAAATCGTCGGTTTGACTGGACATTTAAACTATAAATAATTCGTACATTCGATTCCTACAGATCACTCGCCAAGTACGCCCATCTTCTCTTCAAACATTCCCCTGTTGTGTGAATTTAATTTTTTTTAATTTTGGATCCCGGGTTAGGGTTTGCTAAACTCAGGATCAAATTTGAAATAATGCATGTATACAGGAAAAGAATATTTTTATCCCCCTAACTGCAAAGCCATGTTAGTCATAATGATACTAAAGCATCCTCATGGTGTGTAGATACAGATACCCCCTAAGAGTTTTGGTGGGGCAATTATATGGGGTCACAATTTTTCAAGGGAATATAAAAATCTCTTTAAAATCTCAAGAAAAAGCAGGACTAAAGTTACACAGGTGGGCATTGTGGCCCATGGGCCTCTCGTTGAATTGCAGATTTTCATTTTCAAATTGTTTTAGATGCATATTTTGGACACTGTGAAGCGTTGGATAATCAAAAATGTGTCCTTTGATGCATCTTAAGACCTCTGAGTATGTAAACCAAAAAGTAGGTAACAGTGACCTACTTTTGGAATTTCATGTCAATATATAAATATTTCGGATTCTAAGAAGCTTAGAATCATCAAACGTTGTCAGTTGATTCATCTTATGTCATCTGAGTATGTCAACCAAAAAATAGGTCACAGTGACCTACTTGCTGAATTTCATGCCTACATGTATATCTAAATATTATATATCTTATAATAAGAGG